TTAGCAATGATTCGAGATCCCAAACAAATAGTTCCTATAAAAGGAAGTGTCAAGCCCATGATTCGCATCTTCAATACAGCCGGTGTGGAATTAGGAAAAATTGTGGTTTGTTTTAATTTCATTAATATAGCTCTGCGTATTGTATTATTCTAGTTTTTTCTGATACATAGTGGAATCACGGGAAGATAATTAAAATGGGCTGGTCAGATGTGGAGGAGCTGATATGTGTTCAAGATGACGCGTTGGTTTTCATTTTTGATATGTTTGGAAACGAAAAGGATTCATATAGTATGGGACAGGAGGCTAGTTTAACTAAGGTAAATGTGACTTAAAAATATTGCAATGCTTGATAAAATTTTTAAAATTCAGATTGTAGATGCGAAAATATTTCAATCTACTTCTGGAACCGGTGTGGCTGTGCTTACAACTACTGGCCGTATTTTCTTGAAACTAAATAATGCAAAAGATGTTCGCACACGACAATTGCCAGAAATTCCAAGTAAGCCAAATTAATTCGAATTGTTACTGTAAAAGTGTTACCACCTACAATGATAAAATGTATGCGAATATAGAATCGGCATCAGATTGTTTGTGTTGGGAAATAATCACAGAAGAACGCAATACTTACTGTCTCTTGGGTCGTGATCAGGAAGTCGTTAAATTATTTCCCGGAGAATCCGTAGGCACGATTACGCGGAATCTTTTTGATCGGCCTTTCGAACGTATTTTGCTTATGTCGGTTTCCTATAACCATCAGAACCTGGCTTTCTATACAAATAATGGCCTTTTGTGGCTAGGTACGGTAGATATGAAGAAAAAATATTGTGAATTCGATACAGGTCGCAAAGATATTCCACGTCAAATCGAATGGGTTATGAACTCGGAAAAAAACGATGCCGATGCCGTGGTTATTTCGTATTCTTCATTTTTACTTGTTGTGAACCGTAATGGCGATAAAAACCTGTTCACTTACGATCCAGCTATATTTCTAATTGCCGAAATGGATGGAGTGCGTATTATAACAAATAATGCACATGAAATGATACAAAAGCTTCCAAAATGTGTGCAAAACATATTTGCTGTAAATAGCCAAGAACCTTCAAGCTTCCTATTTGAAGCACAGAAAAAATACCAAGAGAAATCCCATCAGGCCGATGAATATCTTAGTCTGTTTCGCAACAAAATGGATGTAGCTGTTGATGAATGCATAGAGGCGGCTGGATATGAATTCTGTACAGAAACACAAAAAAGCTTGCTTCGGGTTGGTACTGTATTAACATCTGGCCTGTTTGCTTATTTTTGAAATGTAATTTTATTTATAATTTTATGTATAATAGACGGCATACTTTGGTAAAGGGTTCATTCCCTGCCATAATCCCGATGAATTTATGCACTTACTTAGGATCCTGCGGGTGCTTAACGCTCTTCGTCATGAAAAGATTGCAATGCCATTGACTTATAAACAGTAAGTTTCGTTTAAGTTTTATATACACTTTTCTATATCAAATGTATTTTGGATTTAGATTTTCTCATTTGCAACCCGAAGTTGTACTGGGTCGTCTTGTATTTCGCAAGCACTATGCCATAGCAATTCAAATTGCAAAACATTTAAAATTGCCAGAGTCGTGGATTTTAGAACACTGGGCATACCACAAAGTTATAAATGATAAAAGTACATAAATTAGAGTTTTGTATTAATTTCCAGAAAATAACAATATTATTACAGACGATAACGAGGTAGCCCGAAAAATCACGGAAAAATTCAAAAATCCTTCAGTACACGGAATCTCATTTTGCAATATCGCAGAGAAGGCGCATGATGTGGGGCGAGATGAATTAGCTATAAAGGTAAATTCTATAAGCATTTTTTTTCTAAACCATATATAAATTTCGGTTTATTCTTTAGTTGCTTGAACTAGAACCCCGAGCCTCGTTACAAGTACCACTATTATTGAAATTGGGGAAATATGACCGTGCTATAAGAAGTGCCACTCAATCAGGCGACAGTGAACTTGTTGCCACTGTGCTATTAGAAATCAAAAAGAAAATGATGCTTGCAAATTTCAATGTAATATGCGATCAACAGATCTAATATCGGGAAATATTTAATTGTTGTTGTTTTAGATTATCATTCGTGAGTACCCAATGGCCTTAAATATCTACAAAAAAATGATGAACGAATGGAGCCGAACTGCACTGTATGATATCTACAATCAGGAAGATGATCAAAAATCGATTGCCGAATACCATTTTCGCAATGCTCTTGAAAGTGACAGTTTAGAGTCAAATTTGCCAATTATCGCCAATAGTTACACACAGGGGCGTAAAAATATTGAAGCTGAATTGTGCGCGGATACTGGTAAAATTTTCAAGTTGCAAAAGAATGTATTGAATCCGAAGTAAGAAGAAGAACCTTTACATTTGTTATATGATAGATAACACAACTCATTTATTTCAGGTATAGTAAAGTGCATCAAATCAATTTTAGCGGGCTCTCTATACATGACACTCTTCTGCAGCTGTTGCAAATTGGTGAATTGAAAGAGGCAGAAAAAATTAAAAGTGATTTTAAAGTGCCAGACAAACGGTTCTGGTGGTTGCGCATTTTAACAATGTCCGAAAAATGCAAATGGGACGATTTGGAGAAATTTGCAAAAAGTAAAAAAAGTCCCATTGGTTATGAACCATTTGTAGAAGTGTGCCTAAGGCAAAATAATTTACATGAGGCACGAAAATACATTATCAAATGTCGTGATGACCGAAAGGCACATTGGTATTTACGTGCAGAGTAAGCAACCAAAGAATTTCGTGTTATTGCTACAATTTAATTTTAACATCCATTTCTTATTTATAGACTATGGGACGAAGCCGCGGACAGTGCATTTGAAAATCGTGACATTAACACTTTATATACTATTCAAAATAAAGCGAGTGCGATTGGTAATCGTGTGCTTTTGGAAAAAATCAGCTCACATATAGCCGTGTTGGCTTTGAAAAAATAAAATAAAATAGCAGATTCATATTCATAAAATAAAATTAACCGTTACGTGTTACTTTGATTTTTTCAAAGGGACATTTATTTTCCATATATGTATATTTATCATACGTATATACTATGTACGTTAATATATATGTAATTATGTGTAGTTGCTTATGAAGGTATTTAGGTAATAGATCACATAAAGCAAAAAGAAATATATTTATTTATATTTAACTAACACACTTGCTTTTTCATTTTAATATTTTTAATTTTTTTTTAATACATATGCATATTTGTATATTAAATATTCAATGTTAAGGACAATGTTTCACATAAATATATTATTACTATATATCGTGTGATTAGTTGTAGATATTTTTATGGTTTGTATAGATATTGTATTATAATTATAGATATACTTATATATGTTTTACGAACAAAACACAGCAGTCTTATATAAGATGAATTTATTTTAATGTTGTTAAATAGATTTCATGCGCTATTTTCATTTGAATTTTTGCAATGTATTGATTCTTTCTTTTTTCATATATTGTTAATAAATAATTTAATAAAGCTGACATCTTAAATGTACTTTTTTGAATCAACATCGTTAAGAGATTGGGTTAATTTTTAACAGAACAATCAGGTTATTTGCACTAATTTGATCAAACTTCAAAAGTAATGTAACTGATACAAATAGCAAATATTATAATTAATATATAATTCGAATGTGTAGCTAAAATTTCAACCAAAATATTACAGAGTCCAGAAATCAGTGCACTTTATTTCAAAATAATTTTATAGTTAATGTTAAACTTATATTAAACCATGTAATCTTTGTATTTAAAAATATGCACACATTAGAATTATTTGGGTTTATCGGATTATTCATTATTTATTAACTTACACCTTTTTAACCATGAAAACACTCATATTTTTATAGAAAAGCGATATTCATATTGTACATTTTTTGCTATACTGTATATATATTCAATCGCTACTTTTTTAGTTTTTATTTCACAATCTAATTTACATATTCATAATCATATAGAATTACTTTCGAATTAAATTATTTTTTTATCAAGTTTAACTCTAACAGAAAGGGCTGAACAATATGTTAAGCTAAATTGGATATCCAATTGGCTCTCACTCAAATAAGGAGAAGTCAGTGATACTGCCAACTGTTGTTTATATTAATAATTTAGCTAGGGATTATTATACTTAGTATAAATTTTCTTTTTCAAAAGAAAATTTCAAATAATTTCAGTTATTTATACACACATCATTTTTAAACAAATCTGTGAATTAACAAGTCTACTATTTGACGATTTACTAACTATGCTAACCACTATGTATGTACAAAAAATATTATAATTACAATTTTCGAATTAAAAGTTAGTAACTAATTTACCTACAAGAATAGTGACTAGTTAAAGAGCATAAATCAAATGTCATATGTAAATTGCATTATATTTTGCTATAAATATTAAAAACATAGTGAGTAAAAAATCGAGGAGAAAGAAAGACTGGAAAAAATGAAGAAGTGGCTGCGCATTTCCTTCCTTATACAGCAAGTTCACAAGTAAAGTATGCAGTAATAACTACTAACTAATCTCAACATTTATTTTCCTTTAAAACGTTTTTTCTAATTCTGCACTTCCTCCCTACATTCCCAATGTATATACTTATTTTTAATTTTGTTCTTTTTTTTTATGACGACGCATAAGTTAAGGATACATGTTGAACTCCTTAAGAGATAATTTTTGGTACAGCGAGTTTAATTAGTTACGATAAATATATTATTTATATATACTTGCTTATATATTTCTTCGATTAGTTTGAGTGACACAGCGTGCAGCCAAAAGAAAGAAAATGGAGGATTCAAAGTTAACGTCATATTATATATAATGTACAACCAAATATAACTGAAATAAAGTCGGATTACTCTGTATTTATATAAAGGGGGACTTAGAAACTTCATTTAAGTAAACATGAAACACTAACTGTGAAAAAAAACCTGTTTTTCTGGTTGACGCGAACCTCACGACCAACTATATTTTTACTATTCTCGTACATAATAACTTAGTTCTTAATTTAACTTTCTTTTTACTTTTCAAAACTGTTTTATAAATATTGGAGAATAATGATTATGCTTTACCCAACTCTGTCTTTAATGAACAACTTAAAGTTTCTCCTGCAATTGGACAAATCCCGTGCCAGAACATTTAGTAACAATAAAAGTAAGCAATTAACAATTTATTTTATTGCAATTACGGGCAGCTTCAAATGCACATTTTATGAATTCAAGACGCGAAAGGCAAAGATAGGAAAAAAAAGAAACTTAGAAACTGAAGTTTAAACAAAACATTTTAACTATAAAAAAAAGATCAGACAGAACCAAAATATATGTTGGGAAATGTTCGTTTTACCTCCAAGCCCTCAGCAAAGATCTCCAAAACTCCCTCCTAGTGTGCTGCCTTTTCCCAAATTTTTCCATCTCTCTCCTTCGTTGTTGCTAATTTTTCAATTCAATAATTTTCCGATTATTTCATGTCGCCATTTTGCCTTTCCGCAGTCTTAAACAATAACATCACAGCCAAATATTCACGCTTATGCATGTACAAATATTTTAATAACTATGTACAATATATATATGTATATGTACATATGCATCTATTTTACGAAATACTCCTTTCTGAGAAACGGAAGCGTTCAATTAATTGTCCTTGGATACATTGCATTTTTATTATAGTTTTCACTCAATTGCTGCTGTATAGAGCACAAATCATCAATACCCACTACAGGGACTGGGACATTCGAACAGTGATTGACCACCAAACCTCCGCCGGCAGCTGCGTTATCATTTCTAATTGCATTTGCATTAATATTATCGCCATTGGTGTTGTCGCAGCTATTACTGGTTGTATTTTTACCGATCGAATGTTTATTGTCGGGTTTATTGCTGTTGCTGCTGCCGTTATTGTTGTTTAAATGTGTTTTACTCACACCGCCATGATTGGCACGAAGGTTCGCCAAAAATCTCTGTTTGAACGTGTTTGCTGAGTATTTATGCTCGATGAAAGTGGGTGAAATCATGGGCGAGGTGCCGAAAATGGGCGTAACCGTATTGCTATGGGCAGCGGCGGCAGCATTCATTGGTGTGACATTAACGCTGACTGCCACAGTGGCCACCGGAGGTGCCCCGATGACTGCAGCAGAGATACGACTATTGACTGCTGTGTTGTTGACATTGGCGATCGACGAAGCTGCAGTGAGCAGTTGCCCATTGAATGGCATGCATGCGGAGTTACTTGCATTCATTTGTTCTATAAACAACAAAAGAGAAGGAGAGAGAAAGAGAATAGAAATAAAAGTAAACCAAAAATAAAAAAGAAAAAATAAATTTTAAAAAACATTTGAGAGACAAAGACTAGAAAGGAGCATATACATATGTATATACAAAACACTAGGAATGCGGAATAGAAAAGTGGAAGATTTTTTTTGTGTCATAGAACTCGACATTTTTACTATTTAATTTGCAATTATTAAGTATTGATATTTTTGATATTTGAAATCCCACAAAATCTTTGGTCCGTCGACCTGCAATAGCAACGACATTAAGAAATATCGACGGCTTTACTGATTTTAAAACGTTCAATGCAAAATAAATTGCTTTAATTTAAAATTAATTATTAATTAATACAAATACTAAACAAAAGTTACATTAATAATGTTTATATAATACTGTTGACGTTTACACTAGTTGATCATATCCTCAAAGGAGATCCCTAATTAAATAACATAATAAAAAAAAATAAGAAAACATTGAATATTTGACTATCCTACGATTTTTTCTTTAATATAATATATGCATAATGTAGAGAGTCAATCTATTTGTAAACAAAATATTCTCTAAAATGGAAAGTATTTTGAATAACGATGGAATGAAAATAATAAATGATTTTTATTCATTTAAATATATTTTATATTTGATGTCAAGCCTACATGCACCGATTGTAAGTTATATCAGCACAAATATATGTGTATTGTATAATGTATGTAAGCATTGGTACTAAAAATTGTTTGTAGATCCTGATAAAACTACCAATGTATAATTTTTTGCTACAATATCTTCGCGAAATTCTATTTTCGTGTAATTGTTCGTTTTCAAAACCGGTATAGTCTCTCTTTGTTGGATACTCTAACTTCGAATTTATTTCAAATTGAAATTACAAGTGGCCTTCACCTCATTGTAAAACCAGGCGTTAAATAAGACTTTAAGAGAAATTAACTAACATCTGTTGTTTACTATTCCAAAATCAAATAAAGCATGAACTTTACTTTATATATGTAATTGGTATAGAATTTTTTATATTTAATTTTTAATTTGAATAGGAGATCAGCAGTTATCAAAACAATACAATATAGTTCAGAAAATCAGTATAAAATATACACAAAAATGAGTACAAAATAATAATAATTAACTACGTAAATTATTTATAAAGAGTAGTATTGCACGAACCAACTAAAATATACAAAATAATTTAAATTCTAAAATAAATCGCAGCAGTCTAAATTTACAAGGATACTTGAAGGTTGCCACTAACTAATGCTATATATTGTTACACATGTATGTATATATATACATATACATTTTATAAATAGAAATAGTAAATATATCATTTTTAATAATTTCAAAGCATTCTTTCGTTATACCATAGATATATTTGTTCGAGTGCAGAGTACAAGCATTGCAGAATATTAAATACACCAACATTTAATTGCAACAGTGTATTTCATTTTTATAGTTTATGTATGTGAGATTTATATCGTATTTGCGATATTTTTCATTAAATAAATGCTGTATAATTTCGAATTTTGGGAATTATTTCATTAGGAACCTTCCCTATTCACAGGAGTTGAAATAAACAAAGAGGGAAAGTATATATGCTAATCTTATTATATTGGCGCACCAGGAGATTGCAATTGCATTCATAACCAAAATACAGAATTTTACTTGTATATTCAACTGGCTCAATAAGTTGTGCTGTTTACCAACTCTAATATTTTCGTCGAATGTAGATAATAAGAAAATTTCGCTCCACTAATCTAACCTTTTATAATATGAATAGTTGGATAAAAAAAGACGGAACAGAGCAAGTTTTTGCCTAAGCGAACATACACAACAAATTATAAAGAGTAAGCGTATGTTGCACTTCTCTAAACAATATTATGCAATGCATTAGCAATTAATTCTCTAGGTGCTTCCACGTACTCACAATGTTTTTAAGAATACGTCTGGTTACGCAGAAATAACAAATTTTGCGCTGAAAAGTCGCAGCTTTAACTCTTTTAAGGAACTGACAAATATTTTTGAAGTATTCTGGCGTGTTTGTATGTTAGAGAAAATATTTCCCTACAATGACAGACGACAGCCATTTACTTAGGTATTCTGTGTGCCTATAATAAGCCAATACACCAAATATGGTTAGCCTTTTCATTAGCTTTGTGCAAATGTCGTTATTTTTTTTTTACTTTACTAAAAAATGAATATTCCCCATCTATTTTATTTAAATTCACGTCGCATTAGTAGTGTCTTTAGTATAGGCTACGTTTCATCGTTGAGAACGCCTACCACTGCGTCAGCAGGAGCAGAAGCAGCAGCAACAATCGCGTTCGTCATGCCTGCAACACCAGCGCCAGCAACAACACCATTACCCACTGTAGCAGCAGCAACACCGACACCATTGGCGTTAGCAACATTTGTCATAGTGCCATTATTGCTGTTATTGATATTTATATTGGCATTTGATGAAGATGTGGACGTTGAAGTTGATGTGGATACACCCGACAGGTGAATGCTACCAATTATATGAGGCGTTTTCTTATGTTGCTGTTGTTGCTGATGGTGATGCAACAGCGTACCAGTCGACAGGGAAATGCTCTTTTGTTGATGTTGCTGTTGTTGTTGTTGTTGGATAAGTGTCGGCCCACTTGGACTGATGGGTGTCAAAGGAAGATTATGGGTAGTCTGTGTCTGTTGTAGCTGTTGTTGTTGTTGTGTAAATGTTAGCGTCTGTATGGGTGTTTTTGTAGGCGACGTAGCTGGTGTGAGAATGCCTAAATTAACAAGATTCGGCAGCGCAATTTTCGATGTTGTAGATTGTTGCTGCTTCGATTGTACTTTATCAACGATTGCCTGCAGTTTGTGCTGCTGCTGTGCAATGATATCAACTGAACCGACAACATTAGCTGCGGCTGCAGCTGCTGCAGCCTGAGCCGCTGCATTTGTGGCCAATTTAAGGATCTTACTGGCCGTTGCGTTAGCGGCCAACAAGTTGGTAGCTGCAGTCGCAGTTTTGGTTGCTGTTGGCGTTGCCAGTAGGCCGCTGCCATTAATGCCAGTAGTGTTGCCACTGCTACTGCTGCGCACTAAATTGTTATTGTTACCTGATGATACTGTTGCCGACGTTCCAATACTTTGCAATTGTGGTTGCTGCTGACTGCTGAACTGATGTTGCTGCTGCTGTGGTTGGTGATGTTGGTGATGATGTAAGTTGAGACCAACACCATTTGTGGTGGCAACAACATTGGGACTTCCATTGCCAAGTGAACCGTTCGTCAATTGTTGCAACACATTAGTTGTGACAACAGAACTAGTGGAGTTGCTGCCACCATTATTACCAGCAGAATTACTGTTGCCGTTGTAAGTGTTGCCACTGGCACTGCCCTGACAGCTACTGGCGCTACTCGACATATTGCTGATACTGGATGGACTGAGTGAACCTAACGATTGTGAGGGCGAGCTGCTGCGTTGCAAAATGATGCCTGACGCATTGACGCCTGTGCCGTTGCTAGTAGTTGTTATATTAGCTACATGTTGTGCGCTCAAGACGCTCTCTGGCGATGAATTATGTGACACCAACGCATGGTTCTTCAAGCCTTGAGCAGTTTTGTAGCTTTTACCGCAGTGACACTTGTAGCCTTTGCGGACTCTGAAACAATAAATATTCAATTATTTAAATATTTAAATATCTAGAAAATATGCATTTTTTTAGTTTTGTTAATACAAGGCGCCTACATGAATATCATAACTGTATTTTAACGACCTCTAACCTAGAGGATGCAGGTGAAGTATCAATTCTTCCGATACTTACACGATAACGCATTTTACGATTTCCCTGCTATCATTTTGCTTCTTTCACAAAGTTGTTTTTTCTTGAACCGCTAACGGTCTCAAAATGAATTTGCAACCTACTCAATAATTAAATGGATCACAGAGAGAAATGAGCAAGGCCTTCTAATAAGATTAATGTATGTATATCTCTCGGATTACATATCCAGTTCAAAAATTGATTAATGGCACCGTTTGCGGGCATATTTGTACCTCTCGTATGCCCAGTATATTAATTTTCGAACATTCAGTTGACTTTAAAGCTTTGATTTTTGGAGCGAATAGTATTTAAAAATTCGATTAAAAAATTATGAAAATTATGGCCCGTTTTAGAGAACGTTACGCATTTTCTATTCTCCTTTCCTACAAATAGAGCTACGACAAAGGGTCCAGTGTTTTCAGTGCGAGTTCATAGAATATTTTTACATTATTGCTACGGAAAATTAGATAGGAATAGTATTACATGCTTTAGACACTCACTTCCCGTCTTTTTTGTGGCCATTCTTCGAGTGATACTTGATGCCGTTGACGTTCTTGTAACGCTTTTTACAACCAGGCACGGGACACGCAAACGGTTTCTCATTGCCTGGTGTGCCATTGCTGCCGGTACCGGAATGCCTTCACAAATATATATATTTAAATTTCAATGTTCAATTTTCTTACAAAAAAGTTTTGTTGAGCAATCACCTGCTCCCATAACGCATTATGAATTCGGAGCTGAATTCTTCGGTTGTCCAAGAATCATTGCTATCCTCTGACTCCGAAACAACCATTTCGTCATCGTCCATTTCACTACCTATAAATTTTAACATAAAATAAAATTTTGAAAACGAAAGGTGGCATATTAGTAAAAAAAAAACAATTGCGTAAGATAAACATTTTTCTTGCGGTACAGTGCGAATACAGCTTCTTGTCTACACTGATTCGCTTTCTCACCAGTGGGCGTATTGCTGCGATTTGACGACGACATACTGTAACTGTGATGTTTGATCGCCAGCTTCCGTTTGAGTTCAACGCCCGACGTATTGGCGGATAGAAACGGACTCTCCTTACGTGCATCTTCCGATATAAAGCGCAATACATAGCTCAGCGGTAAGCATGCAGGCTGTGCCTGCTCTTTTTGTTCGACCACTTTAGGATCATAGTCTGGAAAAAAAATGTATTTTACCAATTATAATTATTACCCATTAAGTAGCAAAAATCATAATAAACATGTTTATGTACACACATACATATGAACACATAATAAATTTAAAAAATTATTAGGGGCAGATGAGCTTTAGTACTCAGTAAGTATTATTTATAATTATACCTCTGAAGGTCCCCTTATAATCTCTTTTTGGATCGACTGAAATAGTTTTATAACTATATTTTACTTCCCGTCAGCGAAAATTATATTGAAATCATCTTCAATGACATTTACGTATTATAAACTCAGCCGAAGAGGCAAATATAATATATTGACTTGATGTAGAAAACGTCAACCAAAGGATCAGAATTTATTATATAAGTTTCTATTCCAATTTCATTCATACCGCTGAACCACATAATTTTTAAGAAAGCTTGTCTATTCAATTTCGTTAAAATATCACACATTTTGACCAACCTGAACGGTTTAAACACAGGTTGAAGTTTTAAATTATCATATAGGCTATATTGGGGGAAGAGAAAGGGCAGATTGCATTAATTTTGGCATTGCTTAGGTATACTTGAGAACATATTTTTAAATTTTTAAGCAATTTTACAAAACAAATATAACTCACACACTGAACGACATATGTATGTATATTCGGCATAAGACTTAAAAATTATTATCTGTAATATATGGGAGTTATGGTTATTATCGTAGACTAAATTCACATATTTTTAGCATTAAACTATAGTTATATCCAATATTTGACCTGATTATATATATTTTTGGCATTACTACATATTATATGTATTACAGATTGACCGATATTTTAGATAAAAAGTTCGCAATAGGAACTGGGGTCCACTTATTCGATATCTGGGGGTTAAGCAGTCAGGCCCAGTCAGTCACAGGCCCGATTTGGACAATTTTTGGTCATAAGATGGCACATCTCAAAAGCACTATTCGTTCAAAGTTTTATCCTGATACATACATTGAGTGGTTCTTGATTTATATACTGGAATGTGAAAAAATCAGGTGGAAATTAAAATTGTGTTATATGGCATATAGGCGTGGTTGGATTTTGAATTTCGCACTGTAATACAGGAAAGTTAGGATAACCTACCTACGGTGAAATCGGTCGGCAGGTCCCGAGATATGGGCTTTCACCTAAATGTGAGCGATGCCACGCCCGTGGTCCAAATATAACACCGGCTTCTATTAGGCTCCTTACCATCATTTCATATCGTACTTTTAGAAGTTTTTAACAAAACCGTTATATGGGGAGTAAGCGGGGTTATAATCCGAATTCACCTGTTTTCACTGGGTGGGTAGGCAAGCCAAAAAGATTTGTCGTGAGTGAATTTGGTTTTTAAAGCATAAATGGTTTAGGAGTTATGTACATTAAACTTATTAAAGGGCGGAGCCACGCCCACTTTTTAAAAAATTGTCAACCATAGTTACCTCTCCATAATGCAATTCATTGTACTAAATAACAGCCTTGTATCTTATTGTGTACTATATAGTACTTTATAGATTTTCGATTTATGGCGATTCGTGGGCGGGGCAATAGTATGATTCCGCCCATATGCAATAGCAATCCTTGTTGGGTGCCAAGGAATATGTGTACCAAATTGCATTAAGATACAAGCATCTCAATGTTTGCTCAAGTTATCGCTTGCACAGACGGACAGGCGGACAGACATACAGTCTCTCGGAATTCAACTCGTCTCGTCATCCTGATCATTTATATATACATATATAACCCTATATCTAACTCGACTAGTTTGATGAAAAGTGATACAACAACCGTTAGATGAACAAAACTATTATACATGTTGTAGCAACATGTTGCAAGAGTATAAAAAAGCTTATACGAACATATGTAAGTATGTATAAATTGTGTATTGAAAAAACTTGCAAATATATTTTATTTCATATCGTTTACTTTATCTTTATTGCCGATTATTATTCGTACACACCAAAATTATAATATCAAAATGAAATCTGTCGTAAAATGTAATGAATTAGTAAGATTTCAAATTGTTGCTGTCTATAAATGTACACCGTTCATTTCAATAGTGGGTGCATTGACTGAATTAAGCACAGTGAAAAGTGAGAAACCTGATTTGAACAAGTTGTCACGAGCATTTAAATTACTTATTGTCCAAAATATATTCATAAATGAATTCACGCACAAGTATGAGATCTGAAGTTTGGATAATGCTGACTCAAACAAGAAAAAAGTTAACTTCGATTGCACGAATACCTAGAGTACCACAAATAAAAAAGTGTCCATACAAGAACTTGATTTTGATCGGCCAGTTTGTATAGCAGCTATATCCTTTAGCAACCCGATAACGGAGCACCCGACAAATGAGAAGTATCTTGCAGAATATAGATGCGCCAATAGGTTATAGGCTGTCAAAAGTTCGTGGGGAGAAGAAGACCATCTTCTTAAACAGCGTAAAAAACTTCAAAATAATGAGTCTTGTATTTGATAGTCTGTAACACATTATTACCCACAACCGGCCAACGAGTCATGAATTGTTCTGAACACATACTTAATGAGGTCTGCGTACTTTCAGTCAAACAGTTGCAGTATCAAGAAAGCTAAGCAATTCGGCATCTAGTATAGCAGCCTAAACAACTAACGGAATAAATAATAACAATAATTAAGTTACATGATCATTTAATTAGTATAATGCTGTAACTCTGCCTGACTATTTAACCGCGGTAAGGTATGCCTGTCGTAAGAGGCGACTAAAATCCATATGCACTAACAATATAATATATCTGTTTTTCAGCTTTGCCACGAAATATCAGCATTGCTATGGCAGAAATGGTGCTATAATACTCAGCTTGAACTAATATTATAGACTTTGAAAGAGATTCCTTCTAATAAAAAGATATTTGAAGCTCAAGCGACAAATGTCACCATTCATTGATTGATTGAGTTTGATGAGTGCTCAACTGGCAGTAGCTTCGGCTACATGGTCTTACCGGAGTATCACGGAGTGCAGAGAGCCTTTAGATTTCGGTCCAATCTGCGCATTGGGTTTGGCCCTTTGGAGTGATTCGCGGTGTTGAAAGAACTAAAATATTCAGTTCAATGTGGAGTTGCATAAGCAACCGTGTACCGGACGCACAGCACGGCAGAAGTTTTAGGTTGGCCTCGAACTCGACCAAGGTGGAATAGATGTCCTTTTCACCTTACCAATTGGTATCCAAAAAATGCTTGCTAATAGCTTCCGTTATTTGGGCCGCTGATCAACGCATGGTTTTGATCCGTTGGGCTTTTGAGCACCTTGCTGTTAGGCCGTCACCGACAGGTACTCACGTAAATCACAACGAAAGTTGACTGAGGTGGACGTATTCCTGGGCCCACTTGATATGTTGCAATCTATTGTAGATGTTTTAACAACTCAAAGTAAATTTTATAACATATGTACATACACACATGGTCAAAATAATAAGTACATTACTTTAGCCTGGAATCATGGTTAAATTTTGAATGTTTGGTGAAGTAAACGAATGCAAATCGGGTCAGTTTTAATAAATTCGATGTGACAATACTTTTTAGAAAAGAAAATGGTTAATCCCCTCATTGAAGTAAGCGTGTCAATCTATTGTTGAAGTTCGTTTTTTAAGTGGTCAAAATAATAAGTACATTTTTAATTATTTTAAGATTTTCAGCAAATTGGACGATTTATTTTAATAGTTTGTTTTTACGCTTGTATAGCTCCTTGTTTAAAGTGCAATTAAATCTTAAAAATCTAAAAAAAAGGTGGAAATAAGTATTGCTGTGCGGAGGAAAAAATCCTCTCAAACCTCAAAAAAGAGGGCCAAAGTTTTCGAAATAGCACTAAAACTTTAAGACGTGCATTGTATTTCGTTCAGAATGCCCTAAAAGTTAAAAAGAATGTCGAAAGTCACGGTCGACATCAATATCAGCCGTATGGTCACTCTTGTAAAACGGCACCATGAATAGATTCCAATATAAAGATAACTTGGAGAACACGGTGCTGACCTATGCTGAGGAAAGTATGCTACAAATATGGAAAAGCAGGATAACTATTTTAAACATAGTGTCCCGACTTGAATCTAATTGAAAACCTTTCGGGGGAGCTTAAACAATGGATTGGGAAGTAATCATTCCAAAATATGGACCGGTTGGAATTTTGTTGAAGGAACCTGATATGAGATTTCAAGTAATACGTGCTGCATTAATCTTCAGCATTCCAAAACAAATTTCGAAAGTTATTGAAAATAATGGCGGATATACTTAATACTAATGAAAGAATTTAGATATAAATACACGTATATTTTTAAAATCGTTCGCAATTTCGTGTATATTACGTAAATAAAAATCTACCAAGGAAGACGTAGAAAATGCATTAGTCGTCATAACATCATAATTTTAGACATACTTATAGATGTTGTTATCAATTAAGTTTATGTTTATATATATTATTATTAGTTGAATATTAGAAATATTACTATTATATACAAACTGTATTCGACGCGCACTATATAATCTTTCAAGTTTTTAAATACATATGTAAATTCATACTAACGCACTTACATATGTACATATATACACATATACATACCATATATATCTTTTGCTTTCATATTTAAATGCCAAATACATAACTATGTACAATTGGATATAATGAATGAAAGTTCTTCGCAAAAATCACCCCAATCATAGACACCACCACTAACACTCGTTTATGTAACTTCCGGAAATATTACTCTCATTAATATCATTTCAGCGCTGAAAGAGCACGGTGTGTTATATATTGATAACTCCTCAGATCGTGGCTGAGTTCAAATTCTATAATTAACTGATGAATCGAAAAGTCCTCTTCCACTATATTTAATTGAGCTTTCACGAAATCTGCAGTAAACATGTTTTACATCGAAATATCTTTTGAATTATTGACCCAAAACGATAGTTCATTTATTTCTGAGAAAAACTATTTTAGTCGGTCATCTCATTTTATGCTGTGAAAAAACGGGGTATATATAAAAATTAAAAGTCCAATTAAAACAAAAGTCTAATTATACATTTTTTTAACATTATTTGAGGTATTTTGATTACTTAGTATTTGGTTGTTGAGCCTTGAATGTGTATAACGACCCGACATATACGAAACATAGGTTTAGCATGTAGCCTGGGGAATAGCTCCATGTCCCATGCTTTCTTTACCAGTGACCAAATGGAATTTTTATTGGTTGGTTTCAACTGCTCAAAGCTACTTACAACTCTCGCACAATTTCTCAATTGAATTTAAATCCGGCGATTGAGCAGATCAGCTTAAAATGCTAATGTTGTTATCTAAGAACCATTTTTTACCAGCTTCGATATGTGCTTGGGGTCATTGTCTTGCTGGAAAACCCATCGGAGCGCAATATTATCTTCAGCATAAGGTAACCTCACTTTACTTAAAAATATTGCAATTAGTAGCTGCTGTCATTGTGTCCACAATCAATCTAACTATGCTAATTTTAACAATTGGTGAAATTTTAGTTTTCGTCCGCGTGTTTCCTTTTGCAGTTTATATTTTATTGCATTTTGTATCATTCTCTGAGGACATTTCAACGTGTCGCCTATTTTTCGATACAACAATTTTTTTTTTTGAAGGTGTTTTATTTATTCTCCACACTGAACGCTACACTGTCGTCTTCTGCCCATTTTGAATCACTAAACTATACTGTTTCGTTATTCATTTTATATATCATTGTATTCCATCATATACTTAATGACTTTACCGATTATAGATGTTAAAAATCCATAACATTCCAAAGAAATTATTTAGTCAACTTTCACGTTCCTATTATTTCGCAAAGGTTAAACTAAACTCACATCACAAAATTATCAACAATTATGAAACGACCCAAAATATGTATTCTTTGATAACGGTTATTTGCTTCTTCGACATCCAGCAAGAAAATAAATAAGTAATTTCAGACCAAGTTTTTTATATTAAAGGAGAGTAGTTTTAAAATATTTTAATATCTCTATTATTTTTCACATAAATGTATCTACGAATTGCGATAATTTAAATAACAAATTTGAATCACAAAGTTTTAAAGAATGCTACATTTCAAGGAACCCTACTTAAAAAAAAACAGAAAATTCAAATTTATTGGAGAATGTTGATATACATTCTTCTACGATAGAACATTCTTTAGACAGTATTTTTTGAAGATTATCTCTTTTAAATGTTGGCCGCGGCTACGTCTCAGATTATCCATCCGTTAAATCCTATTTGCGATGACTCGTTCGAGCATTTCGACTGGTAACTGGTGAATGGCACGCTTGATGTTTTGATCAAGGCCTGAATCGAAGCGGGATTGTCCGCATAGACTTTAGATTTTACATATTCCTTTCTACAGGGAAAAGTCTAACAGTGTGACATCACACAATCTTGGTGGCCAATTGACCGTCCCAAAACGTGAAATTATCTGCTCACCGAAGTGTTTTTTTCAATAAATCCATTGATTGATGTGATGTGTGGAAGTATACCATTTGACTTTGGGAGAGTATAAAATGTTCGGTTACATCCGAACTTAGCCCTTCCTTACTTGTTAATTGTGAGTTTTTGCATTATGCAAAATTAAAACTCTGTGTGCAAAATCATGTATACAAATTGAGCAATGACACATTGGAGGAAATGGAAACAAAAGAGGACAACTGATTTCCTCGTTGCCACTTCGGGCATAGCTTTTGACAAATTTCGTTTAATACGGGCGGTAAGTACGGAAAGGAGAAACGTCGGTGACTGTTTTCAACATTATACTAGCATTTAATCAAAGAAGTTCTAGGATCTATCACTATTTGAAAGATTACAGGTTTTCATTGTAACAAGGTAATAGAGCGGATATACATATGTAAAATATTTAAAGGAGCTTGGCTTTAACAACACTTTATGCACAAGAGAAATGCAAACATATACATAATACAAGCATGTATACAAGATAACAACCCTTTTAACTATTTCGCTTGCTCTAACTCACTTAATATTTATTTAATATTTCGGATCCGGTCGCAAATGGTCAGAGTAGGTCCAAATACCGAGTATGTAAGCTTAAATATATATATATATATGTATATACATATGTATATCTGTTTGTTATTTTCCTTATGATTCTGGTTGAATGAATTGTTATAACTCACCACGACTCTTCCCACGCACCACACCATAACAAGGGAAGAAACTAAATCACTAACTAATCACCATACTAACAACTGATATATCGATTTTACACCGGCAATGTTAGCTTAAAGGTAAGCAGCTGACCGTGACGTTAAGGTAAACGCCGACTTTAACGTCGCCATAACTCATCAATTTCAAATTCACCATACCAACACATCATTAATATGTGGTAACATCAATGTAAACAAATACTAACCGTCTATACGCTTAAAACCGTTCAATTACATTTTTTGTCGTTCTTTAATTAACAATCACGCGACCACACCACCAAATTGTACTATGCATATTTACATACATATTTGAAGACTACATATTTAAAGTATATCAAAGACACTAAAAATCCCTACTCACCGATATGCGTGTCCTCAATATGTTGTATTAAATCTCCTAAACTAGGAAATGTTATGCCGCAGCCATTAAATTTGCAGATGTTTATTAAGAACACGGCCATATCCCGACCGATTTGACCGATGAATATAAATGTCGCTCGCTAAGCAGCTCTGCTCTGCCCTCCTCTTCCGCTAGCTGATGGGTTGTTTGCTGGCTCTGTTTAACAGCTGGTGCATACAATCAATCAGATAAACACAGCGAAACGCTTATTCAGCGGCACGGCTTATTCAACTTCAGAGCAATTTCTTCCGTGGAAAGCAAATAATACAAATATTGCACACATACGAACGAGAACGCAGATATTCGAAAAATGTGAATTAATGGAACGCACCTGCTCACTCGTTTACCCTTTTCGTTTTGTGTAATAGTTAGTTATTTTTCACCACACTATATTTACTTGCACTCCTTCACTCTCTTACACACACTTGATAGCTTAATATTCACTCGTCACACCACACTTTCTATGCTGTTCACTCTCATGATCACCGAGTTGATTGATGCAATACTGATAGGTTACGTTTGTAAATATTTTTCGATTAATTTTTATAACAAAAAGACCTGCTTTCTACTTTGCGTAAAGTTTTAATACTTAAATATATAACTAAGTATGTTTCTGTCGAGATATGACTTATACACCCCACACCAATTCTTTCGTTCACTTTTTCCCATCAACGCTGTCTGCGTGGACTTTTTCTTGACCAACGAAGTGCGCTGGCTGAAACGACGACAGCATCGATTGTTGTGGGTACGATAGGATGGTGAATAAATTCGACTTTGTTTATTCAAGTATACTGCTGTGTATCGGCTGTATTGGGTTTTAGATTGCTGCTTGGATGTTTACTTCTCAGGTCATTTCGCCTTGATCCTTTATTTTGCTATTATTTACCATTTATATATATGGTATGGCTGAATATTTCAAAACGATTCTGAGCCAACTCTTTTATTATCCGTTTTCAACAATCTTTAATCTCGATAGTGAATAAAAACGAGGACAACTCTATTTACAACCTGTCATTTATGCCGGTGGGAACTAACAAACTGTTTCAATACGCGATTTATTATAAAATTGTATGAGTCGATTAAATATACAGTGTATACACTAAAAGACATTAATTAGGGAAATTATTGTCGATTCGCATATATTGTAGTTATTCATAATGTAGTAACTGAGTCGCATGCCTTAGTAACTAAAAGCATCGGGCAAAAATTAAATTGATGTGCGTTATTAAACGCAATTTATCAGCACAAAACGATAGAAATAAAATACTTCAAGTGTAAAATATTTAACTTCTATTTTAGAGCGTACTTATTTATAAAACTCTTTAATGCTCATGTCCTCCGTAAAGATACAGCACTGCGTTCATTATTTTTTTGGACGGATTTCAATATCGACCTTCTTCTATTTAGTTTAGGTAGCTTACTTCTCCCTTCACTCTCAATACGTCTGCTCCATTCTTGCTTCAGTTTACGCCATTCAACACAATTTACAAGCTTTGTTGCCTTTTATATTTCCACCACTGCTGCAGCGTATTCACCAACACACAAACACGCACTGACACTTACGCACATATACACAATTGGTGTTATGCAATTTGGGGCCGTCGTTAACTCGAATTAAAACAAGCCATTAAAAATATTAAATTTTCGTAAAGACTCAAGTAAGTTTTCACAAAATTTGTTGGATTTTTCGTTCGTCTACTATTCTCGTCTACTTTTGCACAATAAACTACCCGCTTTTGTCCAGTTTGGTTACAGCATTTTGCTGCAGCTGCTACTTATCGCTGGTTTTCTGTTTTTAATTAAAAACATATTTGGTCTAGTATATGAATCGTAGCGAGGCGACGACGTTATGCACGGCGACCATTCGACCCTCTGCGCTCGCGGTTCAAGCGAAACAATTTGCTGCTAGCGCTGCTGTTTCGATTTGATGCTGCTCAGAATAAACGTCAACGACGACGGTAGCCGAGATAGGGAAAGCAAATATGTACCTACAAAGTTCTCTTATAAGCTGTCATAATATAATAGAGGTTTTCACATCGCACTTGGACTTTCGGTAAGATGTTTTATTGTTTTATGGATTCTGTGCTATGTTGGCCGTTTTATTAGTAAAACATTAGAAGGCAACCCGTACCAAATACCAAAAAAAAGTAGGCACAATTCCCCATTTTACCGCCCTTTTAACTCTAGTCGGCACTTTACGTACAATCGACTACTTTTTGACTCTATTTAACGAAAGACAAACATATTGTGACGCACACGGATGATAGAACAAAATTGAATTGACAATAAATTGTCAGAACCAGCAAGACAGCGAGTTCGGAGTTGCCAGACCGTCCTAGCGGGGAAGTTATGTTAAAAATCTACTACATAGGGGCTGCCAGTTTGTTCAGCAGCAGAGAATGTAGAGTTTCTATTGGCATTCGACGGGAAAGTGGTTGCATATTGCTATTTGCTTTTAATTTTTGAAGATGTTGTCCCAAAAATATTGGTAATATGTAAAACTTTAATATTTTTTCAAAATAAAATCAGTTTATTATAATATATATAATTAAAGGAGGAATAATATATATATTTTTAGCAAATTTTAGAATATAAAAGGTATATATATATATGCCTATGTTTAACTGTGGTAAATTAAAAAATATTCACCACAGAAAACTGTAAGGTGCAATTACGCAACCATGCCAAATAGTTTATGTTTATTCAACGAAACTGGAGACAAGTTTTATAAATTTATACAAAACTAATAATTATATTAAAAACAATACTCAAAAACAAATCACCTTTGTAAAATACCTGGCGGACGTATTTTTGCTATTAAGCATGGCGTAACAGTGTTGCGTAAACTAATTTAAAACTACTTTTTAGGAACCGTATTTTATACCATAAAGATATTGCAATATAACGAATAATTATTTAGAATAGAATAGATATGGATAAAGGTATGCACCGTGACCTATGGTCTATTATGCCTTCTCCTAAGTCACAACGACTTAAATAATCATTTAAGAAATACTTAATATATATTAAAAAAAATAAATATGAGACGTAAATATTTCTGTGATTAAAAAAATTTAACTTACATTATACGAAAATTTGGATCTACAATTATTTCTTGATATAGTTTAAAAATTTTAACCACTCGCCACCATAACTCACCAGAGGTTTTTTTAAGAGCATACGACTGGGAGGTGGGAATGTTCTGTTTATTGTCACTATCGGTACTCCCTTATACCATTGTTTGGTAGTAGTGACTTGCTGGGTAATAGCTTAAGCTGTTGGTCAAATAAAACACTCCTAGTGTCGGTTTTGAGTTTTATCGATAACAATCGAAAACTTGTCTTGGGTCTTAGCGCCACCTATATGCCAGCTAACAGTAAACAGCACATTTCCACATTGCATTGTTCCTGAAATAAATATAATATCATGAGCACCAAAGCAACTTCTATTGACCGAAATAAAATATATTCGTTTCTTTGAATTTATTTTAATTATAAAAAAAAAAGTTTTACTTTTAATTATTTCAATTCGAATTTCTTAATTTATGTGTTAAACCTATGCTTGTTATAGCACTGCAATGGAGTTTCGGGTATTCCTGACTTTTTGGGTATGTACACATAATAATTTTTTTACAATGAACCTATATAAAAGCATTTAACTTAATACATCAATGAATTAGCAAAAAGTTTATATATAAACATAACAATGCTTTTATTTCTCTGGAATTACTCTCTTTTTACATTCTCTGCAATTAATTAGTAAAATCTCCGAAATGTCTCAAAACTTTCGATTTCACCATAACTTATTTAATTTTACCGTTGCCTAATCGCGTGCAAAATTTTTAGAAAAATTTGTTTTTTTCCAAGATTATAAATAAAAATAATTTATCAGGGATAAAAGGATGCCCAACTTATTCCAATGTGAGAGCGCCTCAAAACTTGCATTTTTTATAACATTTTCCGTTGTAGCCAGACAAAATAGTAATTTTTGGGCATTTAAGTTAAAACACTCAACATTATTTATAATGAAAAATGATTTTATATATATAAAATATGGAGAAACTATTTAAATATTTTTTTATGGCTTTATGGTATATTCAAACAATTGCATTTTGTTCTAAGCTTATTAGCCCTCAATTTTTAAATGTTTTTAATAATTTTCATTTAAAAATTAATACTATAATAATAATGGCATCACAAAAGATTTCATCACATACATTTAAATTTCGCACTTTAATTAATTTTCATTGTTTTACATTTTCAATTACTGATCTTGAACGGCGGCAAAAAATCCCTCCGTTCACATATATTTCTGGTAGAATTTCAATCTGGCCGTTCCAGTCGTTCCAATTGCGAAACATTAAAGCCTACCCGATCCAGTCAATTGTCAAAGTCGGGTAAGTGAGTTGATCTCTCATTTCCAATGACAGGAGTGTTGGGCACCTCTTGATCTCTGCAATCTATGGATGCGATGATGTTGTAAATGTGGTACATACATTATGGTAATATATATATACATTTTTTATAAATTAAATATCTAAAACTGGAATATACCATACTAACGTTGCTTGTTTAAACATATATTGAATTGTTAAAATAATTTTTATGTCATATCGACAGCGACAATTTATCAATCTTGACATTCAGGCTCAACAGTTCAAAAACACAGAGTACAACGTTTTGTTCAAGACAATGTCATAATTTTATGATAATATCTCATAAACTTTTGGATATCATATAATAGGCACGAATTTCGTAACTATTATTTGGCAGTGTAAACGAGCTTTTAGTTTGACAGTTTGCACAATGTGGTAATTCGAATTTATGTAAGAGTACCACATCCAACATCACATGGAATTTCACCACCCGAAGGGAAGAAACTAAAATCGTTCATTCGCCATTCAATTTTGAAAGTCGACCACTGTTGTAAGGGTTTGTTCGAAGTGAGTACACATAAAAATTTAGCATCTCTTCAGTTTCTGGAGATAGATTTTTGATATTCTGCTTCCTCCCATTGATTGAATAATCATTGACCAAAAGTGAAATAAAAGTGTTTTCGAATTGTAAAATTGAATAGAGTTCATTAAATTATTAGTAGAACTAAGTGTTTTATATCGAAGATTAGAAATTATAATTTTTGAATGTGTATAGGTCTGTGCAAAGAAATGTGATTTTTCCGGTTACTGCTCCGCCATCTTAAAAGTGTGCATGTGTGAAAAAATGTCTATCATAGGGAAACGCGGTGAGATGAAAATGAAACGAATCAACACGATTTCGAACGTCAACGAATGGCAGCGGTGAATTTGTCAGTGGAAGAAGACCATCGCAACGTTACGAAAGCAATTTTGTGGCTCTATCAAGACTTTAGATAAATTGTAAAATATATATCTTCTACATTTTATTGTAAAATATGCAAACTATTTCTAATAGGAAGTTTTTTCTACTTTTGGAATTAAAATTTTATTTCACTTGCATAAAATTACGTATTTGACAGATGGTTCAAGTTACGTAACTGAGCAGCTGTAGTGAACCAAATTGTGCGACAGAAATATAAAACTGTCATATCAATTAATCATTAAAAATTCTCAATTTATAACTATAAATTAATTTTAATATTTTCTTTTTCAGAGCACTGTGCGCTAGCTTCAATTTCTGGTTGATCCACGTAGCATCATCAAATTAATATATACAAAATGTTCGTGTCAACAGTCTCCCGTATTGCCCCCGTCGCCAGGACCGCTGTAAGTTTTGATCTCATTAATATTAGTTTTTCTGTTTTGTTTAATAAAAGAAAGGGAGGATACGAATAAAGTATATTAATATCTAATATTCTATATTACATAAGGTGTAAATTAGAAATCGATTTTTCTTTTTTAATCAGTGTATGATAGGTGTGGTGAATTTTCTTAGCGGTGAAATATTACATAAGAATAGTTGAGGTTAGGTTGTAGCGGTGTTGCAGCCTTTCAAAATTGTGGTTATTATAAAATATATGTAAATATGGAATACTGTATTTAATAATTCTGAGATTATCCGTTGCCTTATGTTTATGCCTCTCTTGTGACAGCAGAAGTTTATTTATATTGAACAACATGCCTTATTGTATAACTACAAACGTCTAGTTACGATTGAGGTTAGAACAAATGACTGCTATGAAGAAAGCGAATTGCCTACCAAACAAATTAGATATGTATGAACAAAATTATTTTTATGTTAACGGAGTATATCATTTTATGCAGTTATAAAAGGCAATATTAATTTTTTTAACAAAATTTATTATTATTTGTTATACTACGAAACGATTATTTTACACCTTAATCTTGCATAATTAGAGTATGTATATATTATATAATAAATAGATAACAGTAAACATTCAATACAAGATATAAAAATATATTTGTAATAATTGTAATGTAAATTTACAAAGTAAAGACACAGGCATATGTACATATGTATATTAAGGAAATGAGAGTAACTATTTATTTTTGTTACTCTTGAATAAATTTAAAAAAAACGACGCTTGTAATATAATACATTTTTATTAGTTCCTATTTTTTATATGATATTTCTTCTTCTTTTACAGCTCCTTAACGGTTCAAAGCAATACTTGCGACCATTGAGCAGCGCTGTGATTAGCCAGAGCCAATCCTTGGCAGCTCAGAACACATCGCCCGTTGCTTTACTGCCACAAATTAGGTCATTCCAGACCTCTCCAGTCACTCGTGACATCGATTCTGCTGCCAAATTCATTGGTGCTGGTGCTGCAACAGTCGGTGTTGCCGGTTCTGGTTAGTATTGGAAGAGTAAACAATTTCTCGTGATATAAGTAGCGAAAGAAATTTGTAGCATTGTCATTATTACTGTAAATAACATTTGTTTGTTATCAGTCAGTTACAATCTAGCATCTGGGGCACACATACGAGTATTTTCTACCGATATCTTCTGCAACTTTTAGCTAAAGAGTTTGTAGTTGAATCGGAAGAATGTTAATTACTCTAATATTGCCTCGGGAAGGTCTGAGAGTTGGTCAAAGTTCAAATCAAAACATGCTGTGGTGCGTGTGAACTTAAACCTATGCATTTTCTAGCAGGAAACTTGTATAATTAAGAGGCAAAGGAACAAGAAAATATGAATGCTCGTCGTGCTTACGGGTTGGTTGAGCATTCATTGAAATCCTTTGTGACCAGCAATTTTAGTGCGATGTGCTTGCTGCATTCTATGCAGAACTCAATTCAGACTAATCTGTTACTGACTGCATTTGCAACAAAAATAAATAGTAATAGTACGTCTACAACTTTCTTTCGCTTAAGTTGAAAAAAAAAAGTTTAACGTTAATTTTTTTCAATTGCAAAACTTCCAATATAAACAGGTGCTGGTATCGGAACAGTGTTCGGTTCCCTCATCATTGGTTATGCCAGAAATCCATCGTTGAAACAGCAGTTGTTCTCATATGCTATTTTAGGTTTCGCCTTGTCTGAAGCTATGGGTCTTTTCTGTCTTATGATGGCCTTCTTGCTGCTCTTCGCTTTCTAAAGTGTATGTCATTGAAAGTTTATAAACAACAGTAATAGCAGTAACATCAGCTACACCATTTATTGTTTTTAAAAAACATCCAAGAATAAAAACACGTTTATTTAAGTTTAAAACGAAAATAAAAATACTATGATAAAAAACTTTAAATGTGCAAAATACGTTAAATCCAAGCGAAAAACCATCCTAACCGAAAAACTGAATTAGCAGAAATATATTGCGAACGAAAAGTATCAGAAAAGTTAAGCGCCGGATCGAAAATAGTTAGTCAACAGATCGAAACACCTGCTTGGGCATTCGTTTTGATCCCGAATCATTTTAGCGATATGGAACATTTCAATTAAAATCACATACGAATACTTAAGTCTACAGCTATTATTTCTCGCAAGTGGAACCATAATTTAAATGAAATCCAGAAGTAATTTAAAGTTGCGATTAGTCGTTCATCATACCATAGGTTTAGCTTCAATGCCATGATGTAGGGTCGTGTTTGCCCTGTCAGCGCTCTCGTTAAAAACTAGGAATGCAGGAAAGATTCGATGCAATCATGGAATGAAAATTAATTAGTTTTTATCTGAAGTTGGGTTTTCCGTATGTGATTTTTATTGACGCTAAAAGATGTTTCCTACTCAACTGAATTTAAGAAGTTGTTCGTGCATTCTGTACTGTATACGTTGTTGCAACGCATTTCTTAAATAATTATATCTACAAATAAAAGAATTGAGTCCTTATTATGATAATGCTGATAATAACATTTATTTGCACACAAATTGTAACATAAAGTAGATCCTGAATAAAAAAGATGGAATTATTGACTGGAGAAAATACTAGTTTCATTTAATAAGTATGAAAGATCATAATTTTACGTTTTTAACTGGTAGTTGTAAGACTCGGCAGTCTTACGCCAACGATGAATTTGTCGTTCGATTGCTTTGTAGTTTACGAGTCGGTACTGTAGGTATGGCTGAGTATTAGATAAAACAAGAACCGATTGAATTTTGGTGCATTTGAGTATTGATTATTCGAAAAGGAGATGTTGCAGTACACATGTCATTTTCACCATTCTTACGACAATCCTAATTACAGTATCGGAAAGGGCACAGATTTACATTCAACTAAGGACCCATTGTAAATTGTACTGCCCTTGGTTTAATTTTTTATTTTGGTAATTAAAAATCTACATATGTATATGAGTTTTATCGCTATGATACAATAAAAAGCAATATATTGATTTTATATCAGTTTTAAAGTTCTCTGTTTGAACATTCTTGAAAACGAAGTGTGCAGTGTCTGGATGTTTAAAAAATCCATCCTCTTTGTTGTTGTAGTACTATTTACAACCATGTTAGGAGAACGGTTTGTTAATTGTCAAAATGTTCAAAAATAAAATGTTTTAAGTAATGATTTCTCGTCAGTAAAAGAAGAAGCGTTGTTAACACAATAGCTCAAATCAATGTTGTTGTAGCAGCTATCTAAGCCCCGCTTGGGTGGTAGGATTCAGGTATCGAAGTTATCTAACGGTAAATTTGCTGTTTCGACAGGGTCGGACCATAAAGGCAGTCGGGTCTACGTACCCGAAACGGATCCGGATTTTTATCCGCACAAGGACTGTCTACTTGGCAGCGTTCTTCATATTTATTTCAGGAAGGTTTTCTGCCGCTACAACAACAACATTAATGGGATTCATTGGGCATGCAGAGGTGGTTAGAGCCATGTGGGGATTGATTGCACGCAGGACTTATATTTGGTATTTTTTTAGATTATATGAATTAAGGTATTCGGTCAAATGTAATCAAATTTACGTTCCCTAAGACTGAAGAAATTTTAGATATGTAAGTGAAGTGAAAATTATCTAAATCTACTGGGAGCTCCTCTATGAGCGATTAATGGAAGAGGAGGTTAAAAGTTCAACTCCATATGTGTAATGCACATATTTCAATTGAGAATTCTGTAGTTCACTAATAAAATTTTGATAGAATAACGATCGATTGATTCATATATGAAGAACTATTATTCGACGGAATTATAGGAATATAAGGAATTCTACCATTTGTGAATATTTGATATATTTATAAAAAAAACAGTATGGTACCATTGGCATCGGTAGCCGAATGATACAGTTGCTTTTAGTTTACCTTAATTACACAAAATATATATAAAATGTGAAACTACGTGGCATCTCATTTGGTAAAACGTCTATTTGAAGTTGTCAATTCGGAACACTAGTGCACGTGTGGGATTTGTTGTTAATCTTTTTATTTTACAAACTACATTAACTTTACAATAAAAATGAAGAGAAAACCGCAACTGGAAGCTGAAACCGATTCCGAATATTATTCGGATGATAATTCAGACGAAGAGGTAAGTGAAATATGAAAAATTTTAATAATCTTGTAAGTGAAATACAATATTTTCAATAGCTTCAAGAAGCCTTTGCTCGTGGCGACCTTAAACCGGGTTTGAACATAGAGTTCAGCTCAGGAAGAGAGAAAGTCAACAATATCGTAAGTAATGGACAACTGATTGTTATACAAATAATTTTAATCATAGAAATTTTTATAGCCAAAACTGCTAGCCAAAACAGATGAAATTAAACTAGATTTGCCATGGATAGAAAGAATGGATATGGTAAATGATTTGGCTCCACTGGCACCTGAATTAGTCGTGCAGTTAGAGAAACATGAGCAGAAGCGTGTTAATATGTTTAAAGGCAACGCTAAAATTCCATATGTGCGTCCGGACGAAGATCCTATACTAAATGACTTTAAACGTGAAATGCTATTTCATCGCCAAGCACAGGCCGCCGTATTGGAGGGAATACAACTTTTACATTCTGCGGAGGTTGTTACGCGTCGTCCCGATGACTATTTTGCTGAAATGGCTAAATCTGACGAACATATGCAAAAGGTACGTGCTAATCTTATGGCCAAGCAAGAGGGTCAAGCTAAGTCGGAACGTATCAAGCAAATACGTGAACAACGTAAAATGGGCAAATTACTTGCAAAACAAACAAAAGTACAGCGGGAAATGGAAAAGAAAGATATGTTGGATAAGTTGAAGAAATTCCGAAAAGGCAAATTGAAAAATCTTGACTTCTTGGAGGATGCTAAGGCCTTAGAATCACAAAAGAAAAAATCAACAGATAAGCGGAAACAACGTAATAAGAAGTTTGGGTTTGGTGGTAAAAAGAAGGGCCAAAAACGAAACACAAAATCCTCTGCCGGCGGATTCGAAAAAGTGAAAAATTTTAGGAAAGGCGCAAAAGCTTCGAGCAGTGGAAACAAACGGCTAGGAAAATCACGCCGATTGAGATCCAAATCACAGAAATAATATATTTTTAATATTCATAGTCTAGGCCTATTATATTAAACAATAGATATAAAAGTTAAAATCATATGTATGTATACTTTTTTATTTATCACTATTATTTAATGGAATTTCTTTTTTTTCCTTTTTTTTTGTTACTCTCTGTTTTAGTTGATATATCTTCATTGCTTATAACATGAAGCTCATCACCTATATGGTCTTCTGTATTCAGCTTTTTTTTGTTCTTTGACGAATTTTGGTTTTTTTCAGATGTCATATATGGGTCTATGGAGCTTTCTTTTCGCTTTTTATTCCGGTTCGAACAGACAGAATTATGAATCGTGATTTCATTTACATCTAGAACTTCTTCTCGAACAATATCGGTAGTCACTATTTTTTTTTTTTGGTGCTTACATCAACGTTTATGTGGCTATTTTCAGGAATATCTTTCCGTTCATTTTTCTTTAATTTAGTTAAAGAATTCATTTCTTTACATAAATTTAAAACAGGTAACTCCTGTACCGCGACTCCTTTATTTTTCTTCTTCTTCGGTTCTTCATATGCCGCATTAATTAAAACATCAGATTTTTTATTGAAATCCTTTTTCGTGGATTTCTTTATTTTTTCTTCCATTTTAGCCAAAAGTTCTTGCTCCTGCTGTTCTATACGAGATAGTTTTCCACTTAATTTTAAACCATGTCGTGCTCCTTTATGAGCGGTTCTTCCCCCACATGCACGAAATAACTCCTCGTCTGTTAAAGGTTTGTATTTCTTAACGGATATGTCGGCTACAGCTATTTTGTTGGGATTTTCAATTTCATCGCCCGATTTTGTAAGTGTGGCTGATTGTAGAAAATTATCATATCGGTTGTCATTTGGGTAACTTTGATCCTTGGCTTTTTTCAATTTTTTTACCGAGTATTCCTTTGTAGATATTTCTACACTCTCAGCTTTGTTTTTTAGGTCCACACTTACACCATTTTTGGTCGTTCTCACATCAACATTTTCTGCGGCCTCGTTGAAAACGCGTTCCCACCAATGATTATTGAAATCTTTGGCTGCTTGATCAGAGCCAAGTCCAGCATTGTCAAATTTCATACTAGCTTTCAAGGGTTTAACAATGCCATTGTTATGTTTTCCTAAGCCTTCTCCTTCTTTCCATCCATATTTATTCAATATTTTACGAGCAAAATCCATTCGAAACTTTATTGTTTATTTAATCCTATTTGAGCCAAGAACGTGCACTATTTCATGATACAGGTAGTGAAGGAGTGTTGCCAGATAATATTAAAATCTACACAAAGAAAGGTTTTTTATACAATATTTTAAAATTATGATTTATATTATCCATAGTCAGAGAACGTATATACCATTGTATAAATCTACATGTAACCAATCCTTAAGGGTTAAGAGGGATATGGTTGGATAGATGAGATCCAGATCAGGAATATATATAATAATTGCCGCCGGAAACTTATAGTTTTCGAGATATTTGCATTTTAAGTGCAAATTGTTAAACTATACCTTTTATTTAAAACTCTGTGTCAAAAAAAGGCATATTCGATCAGGTGATCACGTCTGTTTCACACACATAGGACAGCTGATTCTTTGGCTACTTGTAGGCTTTTTTAAATTTATTAATTTAGAAAGATTTTACTTCAAACTATACTATTGTTTATACAAAATATGTACATAAGTACATACATACATATGTACACTCGCATTCACTTGAGTACGTACATAAGTATTTTATTTTTAAGATACGAGCCTATATCTGTTCATTTAGACATCGCGGAAGCTCCGTTTTGATTTGGTTTAAGACGGACATAATTGGAACAAATGTTGTGAAAATGAAAAATATACCTTTCATAATTTAGTTTATATACGAAGTTTTGATGAACAGTCCAAAAAATGTGCTTTTAAATTTGCATCACTTGAATAGGTATATAAGTATGTACATTTGGATTTGGAACGATTTCAGGTCTTTAAGTGAATATGGGACAAGCTTTCTGATGTCAAAAATGTCAATATTGAAGCTTTTGCGGATCAAGGCCTTTCTGCGCGAACTATTGCTTCCAAAATCGATTGACTACAGCAAAAATAAAGGCGAAAAGTGGATTCACTGTGAGAATGGTAGTAAAAAGTTGTGAGCATCTGGTGCAAAAAAACTTAAAAATAACACCTCTAAATGCTCAACGGAAGGACGAAAGGCTACAGTTTTACAGTGATCACATACCACCATAGCCGCGAGGGCTATAGGCTCGTATCTTAGAAATAGAATATGTACCTGTTCAAGTGAATCGGGGTGTATGTATATACATAAGTATATAGGGCAGAAATGGGGTGAGAATGTACATGTAATTCTGGAGTAAAAATATATTAATCGTAGAATTAAAACCGCACTCTTCTTCTAAATGTAAGTATACGTATTATTCTACCGTGAGCTTGGCTTGCGCGTAGTAGCTATTTTAGTCATTGATTATTAGCGAACCGATAAGCGGCTTTTTGTAGGCACGTTTCATATATTTACTATATATAAGTTGATATACTTTGGGTTACTATGGATATGAAGTTATTGGTATTTCTACTTTTTTTATATGGTAATGTAATTCCCATACTGTGTATGATAATACGGAGAACCGATGCTGAAACTATGCAAATGAAGTCTTCACAAAGAGCTCGTCGTCAAATCGATATAAATTTGTCAGCTGAACATGATGAGAATAACGACGAAACAGAAATAGCTCTAGAAGCGATAGCCAATTTATGGCGTAGTGCTGATAGTAAAACACAGATCGATGGGTCAGCCAAAGTGATACACCACAGCAATTCTTTGAATTCCGGAAATACACGTTTTTCAGGACGTTTACATGTTCATCACGACTATAGAAAAAAGTGATTTCGTAAAACGTTTCCAAATTATTTGAGTTTCGACATTAATATACTTTTTAAACAATTTAAAATATAATATAATATATTTATAATAATATACATACTTGTACATTCACATAAGTTTGCATGATCAATTAAAAAATAATAGTACATACACATATTTATGTTAAATTGCCATCACCGTTATCAATGTAGAGATAAGATGTTCTACATAAATTATATGCATTGTCCGATGGTCTTTCAATCTAAGAGTGTTATTTCGAATACTGGGATATCTTTGAAAAACAATGAGAGGGTTAATCTCAGCATATATTTTTATAATAATGCTGATGAATTCTGAAGCACTCCGTCAAAAGTTGTATGAAGAAAAATTACATCTAGAGCTTCTTAAAAGATATCATCGTCAATTGGATCTAACATTAACCGCTGATCACGACAGCCGTCAACAAAATACGGACTTATCGCTAGAAGCATTAGCAAACCTTTGGCGCAGTGCAGATAGTAAAACGTCTGTTGATGGAGGAATTAAGTTGGTCCATAGCAAAAACAATTTTGATACGGATAGCACGAAATATTCAGCTCGTCTTGATGTGAACTTTGAACTTGGAAAAAAGTAAAAAGTGAATCTACATATACGTACATATGAAATGCTCAAATTTATAATAGATATTATTAAATAAATATGTAATATTAAAATTTTTATTTCTTTTTATTTATATTTATATTATGCGGATATTTTTTTAAAGTATTTTAAATGTAATATAAAGTATATAGATATTAAATTCTAAGCGCTTATAATTTAATGCGCTTAATGTCATCTATGCGAAAATCGATACGTAATGCTAATAATGTTCGCACTTCTTGAGGCGTTAAACGCCAAGAAGGAGACTCATTATCGTTATCCGGACCCCAATAATCTGAAAGCTCTTCAACTTTTTCTAGATTTAAGATTGTCGCTATCTGCGTTAGACGTGTCATTTTATCGCGCACGGACCATGATGTGACGCCAGTTAAATATGAGCTGAGGGCACGAATCTCCTGGTCGAGTATAAGACCTCCCAGGCGGTTAAATGACGATTTCTTGACAGCCCTCTCTAGTCTAGATGTTGTATCTGATGCCAAAATGCTAACAAAAGCGTCAAAGTTTCGTGGTGTTAGTACATTTTTAAATTGACTTAAAAATGAATCGAGTTGCACAATAAGTGTTTGGATAAAAGTTTCTCCAGCTTCGTAGTCAGCTAGTTCTTCTTCGGATAATATATGGCTATAATTGAAGAATTGATCAATCCAGGGATTTAAGCGGGGCTTAATTGCACTGGACCTCAATTGTGTCATGCCGAAATTTACACAGGCCTTCAAAGAATCCCTCACAGTTCTTAATTCTGATATGCAGCTATCTACGATTCGCTGCTCTGTAACTGATAAAGAGGGGAATGTATTTTTAATATCTTGTTCCACTGTTTCCCACAATGTTTCAAGGAATTCCGTTGACATATCGGCATTATTCAATCGATTTATAAAATTGCTGCGTGCTTTTTCACTGTCGCTTGATTGTAATTTGCCATGTTGCACAGCACTTTGTATTGCACTATAAGCCAAATCTGTGTAACCAGAAGGATATCCATTTTTTAATGGAATTTTCAATGCACTTATGAAGTTACATAAACAGGAAGCGGTGTTATTAATTACTGCACATAATCCATTTACTGATTGTGTTGTTAACGATCGACGAATACATTTTCGCAAAATATAGAAAACATCATCTACCATAGAGGAACATTGTTGACCGCCCTCGAATGTATCTAAAATTATAGCTTTATACACACTTTCCTCCATGAAATGCCTTTCGAAGAGAAGATAAGTGCTTAGTATCTCCTGCATTTTGCGGCTAAGGTCTGAATTATTTAGTGTGGTTGATAATCGTTGAAGTTGCTGTTCTTTTTCAATGGGGTGTTTGTCACTTGCCTCAATGTCCGAATTAACTTTACGCCTCAAAAATCTGAAGTACAATTCAGCACGAGAATGCATTATTGTCAATTCCAATATTAAAGCATCTATATCTTTAGGTTGTGGTTTATCAGAGTTTAATGATTGTTTTTGAAATTGAATAAGGGAAGGCATGCTGCCACCTATTAAACGATTATATTCGTTAATTTGTTGAATTAGATCTGGAATACGCCTATTTTTATTAAATTCTAAAATTACGTTCTTCACCTCTAAATCACATTCATTTTGTAGTAATGTGGCCAAGATAAGAAGATAACCAGATCCATAGTAGGTCTCTATAATAGGTTTGTTCACTTCAATTACTCTAGCGAAATTTTCAAGCAATATTGTTAAGGTGTCCGCAAATGCGACTGATAAGCGATTCTCTGCCTTTGCAATATCCAAAGATGATCGCAGTTCTTTTTCACATTTTAGCGCTAATTTCAAACAAATGTATTTGCCAAACTTTTCAATGCCATCCTGATGCATACCTAATAATGGGAACAATTTCAAAAAACGTTCAACGGATGCTAAGTCATCTTTATTAACCGCTTCGTCAAAACGGATAACTACAAGCTTTCGCATTTTCTCAGTAGCCTTTTCCAGTGTATCGACTGCATCACTTACAGATGTAACCGAACCGTTTGATCCGACGTCACCAGCAGTACGCCGTAGAACATTTTGATCAATTGATAAAAAGCGTCCAATAAGTGCAGATCCCTTTTCATAATCTTCCTCTTCAAGGGCATTCAAAACACCTTGACTACAAAGTTGCAGATCTATCAAATCGTGAACACGCTTCTGGCATTCAGATGCCCTACTCCGTGCCATGTCTACAGAACGTACTTTAGCACTAACAGATTTAGCTAAATCGGACGTATGAGAAATTTGTGTGCTTAACTTTTTAGAGTCTGTGCTTACTGTGTTTAAGGCACCCAGGAAATAACAAATTGCATTCATTTTTGAGTCCAAAATTGTTTGCTTGGAAAGCAGGTTTTGTAAATTGGAATTAATCCCATCCTCTTCGTCTTGTATTTTCTTTAAAACTGATTGCATATTATCTGTTTCACTGATATCCGTAGAAGAAAGCATTGTTTCTTAATTGATTTTTGTTGTTTAATTTCAATATATATAATAACAATACTATTGTAGTTTTAAAAGGACACAATTAAATTTTAATCTATGTCGTGTCAATAACGTAAACAATTCTGATTAATTCTGTAGACTCGAAATCGGTTATCGATTTATCAATACAGCTTAGCATTGTTGCATTTTAGTTAACCCATTGGAGGGAATAAAGAATAATTACACAATATTGCGACGAACATAGATGATAGAACAAAATCGAATGAACGATTACTGCCAGAAGCAACTAGTTAGCGAATTCGTAGTTGCCAGAATGTTCTAGAAGCAATGTTTTGTTACAGATTTACTATATAAGGGCTGCCGGAAGAACAATTGAGACATAAGCCAAAAGTTGTAAGCTCGAATAACGAGCAATAAGTGTTAAGTTGTTGGAATTAGAAATAAAGATAAGTGTGTAGCCATTAAATTGGGACTTTTATTTAACAATCCAGTGATCGAACTCAAGAGTGAGTTACAGGTAGACGGTTTATCGAGTAATCCGTTACAATATAATGATAATTCAAGTAATAATCCTATATATATAAGTTTCGTTTTTGTTACCTATTTAAATGTTTCTTTTGCTAAAAGGGCTTCTCAAAGATTGTTAAAAATCTGAACTAGTAATATTGCCAATGGAGACCATGGATATCCATGTATTTATCCTAGATGGAGTTTGCACATTACTAATGTTCACATAGATTTTCATCCTCATAAAATTTGTGAACGGTCCAATAGCTCAAACTTACGCTATATCAGCTTGAACATACCTGCCCGACGAGAATTTCCTAATCCACCAGAATGTATTGAATACCCGTTATTAATATTTTCAAGGCCAAATGTATGGCGGGAATTTTCTAAACTTTCGGGAATTATTCGAAGCCCGTAAATTTTTTTTACTTAAATTTTTTTAACATAATGTTAAAAGAAATAAATATGAAAGCAGCTTAACATTTTATGTAAATATTAAAAGTAAAAGATAGATAGATTAATTTTGAGGTATGCACCGCGACCTATGGTCTATTGTGCCCTCCCCTAAGTCATATCGTATCATCTAGGCCCAGCATGTTGACAAATTCCAAAATTCTGCTGGGTGCTAGTGAGGCGATACAATCCCTGTGTGGAAACATGGATCCCAGGGCCTTGATTCTGCGTCTGCAGACTGCTGTGCAGTTCATCAGCAGATGTTCAGGGGTTTCCGGCTCTATGTCGCAGAACCGGCAGTTTGCAGAAGAGGCTATGCCCATGTTGAAAAGGTGCTTCTTAATCCTGCAGTGGCCGGTGTAGAACGCGACAAGTAGCCGGAATTTGTTCCTCGGGAGATTAATTATGGTTTTGAACCGTTTGAGGTCGTAACCCCCCATTAGCAGTCTGGCATGGTGCATGCCCTGCAGCTGTTGCCAATGTGTCTCCCTACCTACTCTTTCCTCCCTACGGAGGAGCTCTTTAATTGTATGTGGACCAACCGCTATGAATGGTTCATTTTTGTAGAGGCCGCAGAGCGGGCCAGCTCGTCAGCCAGTTCGTTCCCGGCTATACCCCTGTGGCCAGGCACCCAAATAAGATGCACTCGGTTGTGTTCTGATAGGCTGTTCAGCCGTTCTTCCAGCACTAAAAGAGATCTGACCTCATAGGCAGAGATCGCACTTAGTGTCGCCTGGCTATCGCTAAGTATAGCAATACTTTTATTGCGATAGTTGCGTTGGAGGTTTATCCCTACACACCGACTTATAGCATAGACCTCGGCTTGGAAGATGCTCGGGAAACTTCCCATGGGAATGGAGAGTTTGGTGCTTGGCCCAGCGACCCCTTCACCAATCCCCTCCTCCGTTTTCGACCCGTCGGTATACCACTTGATAGTGCTTTCCCTTAGCAGTAGGTCCAGTGATGAATTATTCCATTCAGACTTGCTGCCAAGGGTAACTTTGAACTTCCTGTTGAAGTTTACTACTTTGGTAATGCTATCCCTTAGGAGAAGGGCTAGTGGTATTTCCTCACTTAGCGCCTTCATCTGCTGGGATGAGATTACCTTCCCTATCAGCCGCTCAAGGAGATCGTCCACAACTAGGCTCCAAAGTAGGGGGGATACCACTCCACCCTGTGGGCAACCTCTTGTTGTGCCCAGACGAATTTTAGTGTCCCTAGAGCGCAGTACGGCTTCAATCCATCTGCGCACTGGTGCTGCCACACTCCTTTTCTCCAGTGCTCTTGACACGCTTTCATGAGACGTATTGTTAAAGGCACCTTCGATGTCAAGGAAGGCGCATAACATCGCCTCGCCCCCATCTAACGAATTCTGGATCTCTGAGGTTAGCTGGTACAGAGCAGTGTTTGTTGATCTGCCCGCTTTGTAGGCATGTTGCTTCGCATGAAGCGGTGTAGCCTTCAGCACCTTCGATCGTATTTCGTGGTCTATGATCTTTTCCATACTCTTAAGTAGGAAGGAAGTAAGGCTGATAGGCCTACAAGATTTCGCCAATGAGTAGTCCTTAATTCCTAGTTTGGGTATGAAGATCACCCTTGCAGTGCGCCATGGTTCTGGGATATATGCCAGCGCAAGGCTATCCCTCATCAGCCGAACAAGGTGGCTGTAGCACCTGCTCCCCCTGTTGCAGAAAAGCTGGAAGGATACCATCCGCACCCGGGGACTTAACTCCATTTTTAAAATTGATAAATGTTATAAAAAATTTAAATTAAATATAATATAAATAAATAGGTTGTATCAGCTGATACGTTTCACGGTTTTGCGTCGGTCACGAACTAAATCCCTTGCACATATACCGTGTATGGCCAGTTTTAGGATTCTGTTATATGTGCCACCTTTATTATAATTTTTTAAAGGCCAAGTCAACTCTGTTATGGTCTTTATTATGATTTTTGGTAAGTAGTCAACCCTGTTACAGCATTGTTCGTTTTGATCTTTTGAAAAATTTTACTGCATTTTTAAATTTACTTGAATTTATTTATTTCGCGTCATAGGATTTTGATAATATGTCAACTCACTTGGCTAATGTTTACGCATTTTTATTACGTGGATATGGTGAATCATATACACTAATATATTCTGAACCTCCAACTTATTTATGTAAAATTGTTGGACAAAATAGATGTGGCGGCAAAGTTGTATTCATATATCAAGAGGTTATAATCTAATTTAAAATTGCCGTTTCTTGCATCTTTAATTGTTTTATTTACTTTTAGGATCGTAGTATAAACGACAAAATCTACGCATCACCAAGAAAACTAATTAATAAAGAAGATGCTGTTAAAATAGATATGGACCTCACTGGCAGCCCCTTGAAAGATGATTGTGTGGTAGAGGCCATAGAAGATATTTCATTAAATATAAAGACCAATCAAGGAAATTCTTGGAAAATTGAAGAAGAATGCCAGAAAGGGATTCCAATTGGAAAAGCTCGTTCATTATTGTGTAATGAAAATTTTCAGTTTGTAGATCCTGATGCAACAGGTTCAATATGGATTCTTTGTAATGGAGCTGACGCGGGTAAAACTCTACTTTTGCAATATGAATTTGCTTCCGGTTATTTTAGCCGAGGCATAATTTCTTTTTCTGGAGTGATACAAGTGAATGACGTAAAAGTAGAATCTATAATGCAGCAACATATGTCTCTTAATAGTGGAATTTCAACTGGTCAAGTAGAAACTTACATTGAGAACATATATCAAATAAAGTCTAACATTTCTGTGAGGTGTTGTTGGTCCTCTACTGCAGCTTTACCTTCTCTAATTGATTTAACGTCATGTGAAGTTACTTTGCGGCAAACCTTTCGACTAGAGGCTTGTAATGAGTTAACAGAAGATTTCATGAATGAGTTGCGGATATTGACTGTAATTAAAAATGATATAATAGCGTACAAGAGTTTGGATAAATGTGATGCTGAGGGAAGAAATGAAGTTCTTGTATATCGCTGTGGTTGGTTAGTGATCAATGTCCTTGTATTGCAAATGTTTATAATTTATTTTAAAAAATTTCCATAGCGGAATAGATACAAGGGAATTGCGAGAAAGTATAAACAAGGCAGTTATTGAAATTGCTGGCTTAGGAGATATGCACAGCGCAGATAGTGGTATCAAGTGCGATATAGAATCTGTTGTTCAACGCATAAAGTTCCGGCGACTTACAGACCTCACAGATAAATTATGGGAAATTTTAAGACGTAAGGAAAAACAATGCATGTATGAGTGGTATATAGCCATTCTTATTTTTTAGGTTGCTCTTCATATAAAGATCTAAAAATGGCATTTACGATTCTATTTAAATGTGCGGCTCACTGCAATATTGTGGTAAGTGCCATACTATACATATGAAATAATTACACATAATGGTATGCTAATCCCATAAAAGTTTAAAAATATGGAATAAATGCAACATCTCATAAATAATAATTTTTCGGACTTTGGTTTCTACTCCTCCATTTTAATGTAATCTTTTCGCTTTGCTTAGAATACGCCAACAAACAAGAATCGACTGGCAGAAATCATTACCGAGGTTGCGAATAAACGCTTGGCCATACCATGTCTCACGGGCAGCGAACCTTTGGAATTGCTATTAGAAATCGGATTGGAAAAACTATACAAAGACTATGAACTCATATTTGATGAAAGTAAAATATGTAGTTCAAACGATTTGAAAAGTAAAAGGTGAGCTATCCACGTTAGCAGCTTTATTTATAATTTATGTTATTAAATCAATTTATTTTACAGTCTTTTTGATTCGCAACATAACGATGAGAAAATTTCAATGCCAAATGTGCGCAAGTCACTGCGCAATGCTGTGCGTCCAGACCCGGTGGCGATGCGTAAAACATTATTGCATAATAAAGCAAAGAAAGATATTAAATTCGAACACGAAGAAACAATAGGGTTTAAGAATAGTAGTTTTGATGAAATTGAGGTGTCTGAGCGTCTGGCCAAGCTATTACAAGTGCATTGTGCTTTGGAACATTTGCTTATGATAGATATCAATCTGAATTTGAGTAACGGTAAGCGATATGGGCGGATGGCTATCAATATTTCGTGTCGTTTTGTTATTTTATTGTCATCATTTTTCTTTAGTATATAGCGAGGTATGTGAGCAACTTTTAAGCAAACCCCCACGTTTTCTAGATAACATTGACGAAAATTTGGTGGATGAAATAGAAATATCGCTATCTGCACATGATGTGCGTGAACATTTGGAAGGGTGAGTCAATAAATATTGTCTGCTCCTTTATGTGGATATTAAAATATATTGATATTAAAATGTCCAATATGCTTACAGCAAAGATCCGCATGTGCGTCTCATATCAATGTGCTCCGAAAACAAATTTCGAGAAGTAAAATCTACTTTTTATTACAGCATGAATAACATTTGCCCTCCTGGTATTTCAGAACATTTTCAATCAGATGGTGAATTTCTTTTTAGTTGAGTGTTAATTGATTTTAAAGAGCTTTTTTTTTTACAGATAAGGAGGCATGTAAAGAGAATACATATTATAGCTGGTTGTACCGTAAAATTAAAACATTGCATTAAGTGATTTATTATTTTAATTATATTATATTAGGACATTGAAGTACACAAAGCTAAGGGCTAGAATTCAATCTTATATGTATATTTTGTGAAAATAAATGAAATCATAAAATAATAATTGATTATATTATTAATTTCATTATAAAATGGATAATAAAAATTAAGAAACTTTCAAAGAATTCACCTCACAGTTAAAACGTTCCTTCACTTTTAACGTAAGGTTTTTAAAAATTTTCGATTCTTCAAATTTTTATGGAGTAATCTTGATCCTTCCAATGGGTTGGCTTTCTTGAACTCTTTGTTTTGGTCACCATATTCTAAACAGATTTAGAATGTAATAATAAATAATTAACAGTATTAAACGAAAGTGCATTTTAAGTGTTATAGGTATCCAGACGCTTCCAAATCTGACTCAGACAAAGCAAAGCAAGCAAATATAAATTGCGCCGAATGTGGAATTCACAACAACAGTTGTTTAAAAACGTACGCAATAGCTGAGAATATCCGAACAATATGCCACAATATGGTTCAATCCAATTAGTGTGCAGGTTAAGCTGCTTTCTTTTATATAAGTATTTGAAGTGTGCCTCAGAGCAAGCAAGTATCAGAACGACAGTTGAAGTGCTGAGGTCCGGACGTGTTTCAGTTGCACATTTGCCAATTGCCAGACAACATATTTATTTCAACAAAAAATATTTGTTTGTGCTAGAAAAATTCTTTAAATGTCCTGTTTCAAAATCAGAAATCTGATCGGAGAGACACGACGTTACAATCAGCATTAACAACTTGTCCTAATAGCTTTCAACAAAAATACAGAACAGTGTGTATGTTTTTGTAGTTTTATTCGAAAAGCACAGATTAAAATAATTAAAGAGGGTCGGGCTTCGCGAACGTCTCTTTTAATCTACTCCGGGAGCCAAAAATACTGCATACTTACATATATATGCGAATGCTGCTCAACGTGTAAAACCAACAAATACCGATAATGGTACATGATTTAATAACATATTATAAAACCATAAAGTGAAAATTAAACTGCCAAAATTGCTTTAAAAAAAATGCATTTTGCATGCAAAAATACATCGCCAAAGCGACACTGTTGCGGCTTCGGTGCAGCTTACCTATACATATTCACATGAATGAGGATATATCCATAGGAGTGTCATAGATATTAAATCACGCATTTGAAAAGAAAAAAAAATACATATTTTAGTGCTTTCGTATAATACTATAGAACAAAATTTCATAATTTTTATGTTCATCCCGTAAAAATTGACGATATAACTGCGTATACGGGAATATATAATTACTTAGTTTAAAAAAATTACATGGAACTCCCATATAGGGTGCTTATATGGTCTTCGTAATATTGTGTATTAACTGACGAACTGAAAACTTTATCAAAGGAATAGTGTATGTGCCAGAAGCAGGCTGGTCGTGAGAAAAATCATATACTTTGTGGACACTGTAACTTTTGTTCTTCGAGTCGAAGAAGGACTCGATCATCGAGTCCCGATGTGAAATTTGTATTTATTTACAAGACTAATAAATATAAATAGATATTGTACGAAGATTTTACAAGAGCTTCGGTTCGAGATATGTTAATATATGTATTAGAGCTGGTCGAAAATCTAAGTTCTCTAACATATACTTAACAATGACAGTGAAAATGAAGAAAATTAGACAACTACAACATATATCTCCCATACAAACGACTTGTTTTTTCGTCTCTTTGAGATTTATATTGAAATTTATAATACATAAAACGGAAAATATTTTTTGAATGCGGGATCAACTTTAAAAATGTTTATAAAAATACACTTAAAACTTATTTAATGTTTTTCTGTAACGGAGTTATATGTTATAGATAGTTGTCCGATTTTTTTTATTTTCACGGTCATTATTAAGTACGTATTAGAGAACAGTTCTGCAAAATTACGTACCCTTAGCTTATTAAAGGCAGGCAACCGGAAAATAAAATAACTGAATAAGCGGTTGTATGAGAGATATGTGATATAGTTGTCCGATCTGGCCAATTCGGACAAATGATTAATAGAATCTCAAAATACACCTATGTATTAAATTTCATTCGGATATCTCTAAAACTGACGAAGAATTTTTTATAATCTCGAAAAATTAAACTTCAACTAAAAAATCGCTGGCCCGAAACCGGTTTTAACCCCATATTCTCTTAGTCATAGTTGTTCTGAATGATTCGCAAAACTTTTCCCGCATATTCTCTTAGTCAGAGTTGTTCAGAATGATCCGCAAAACTTTTCCCGCATACGCATAGCTCGCTGTAAATCAACCCGCTCTAATTTATATATACAAAGTATGTCCAACAATGGATTCTAATACTTAGTTTAAATTTGCTTCTACTAAAGACCGTTTTTCGATTCTGACCAGTCCAATATATATTCGGGTTCTACAGCTTGCATATAACTTGTGTGGTTTGGGAGGCTACCAATACCGCTTCAAACAGTGCAGCTGCTTCTGATGGTAGCACAGACACTATATGAACCGGCAAATATTTTACTGGTAACCTATTTAAGTCTATCAGTGTATATAAACGCCTATTTTGCTAAAGAAGTTTCAATAGCTTCTCAGTGAAGGGAATTAGGATGATTTAGGTAGTTATAATATTTCTTTTATTCCTTTGGTTTAAGACCGAAGTTTAAGATGAGTCCGATATGCTATATGAATCGACAATAAGTATAAAAATAGATTGTAGTTCTAATACCGTTTTTGAATATCTTTGTTAGGGGTTGGAGTTCTTCTTCAAATTCGGCTATGCCTTCCTCATCATAACACTTATGATAATGATATGGATGTCCTTGGCGCGCGCCTCGATGCATATGTACGAAATGGACGATTCACGCAATCCACCATGTACACAAAACGCACTTTGCACGTGTTCGAAATCGGCGCCGGATCTAGGTATAGTTCATTGCAAAGATGTGCCATTTCCGGCGTTACCTAAAATGGTGAACGAATCGAAGGTACGGAGGCAAGAATATATTTATTGAAACATTTTTGCACACATGCGATAACGGTTTAATTGTTTTACAACCAAATTCTATTATGTATAAGGTTTTTTCGCTACACATGGAAAACACCGGTTTGCGTGAAATTGAATCATATTTCTTGCAATCGACAGGTTAGGAATGCTTTATCGATGAGATCTAAATATATGTACATTATTTTGTAATTAAATTTTCTTTCCGAATTTTTAGGCATGTATCGTTTGAAAATAAGTGGCAATCATTTGACGGAAATACCCGACGATGCATTCACCGGGTTAGAACGGTCACTTTGGGAGCTATTGCTACCCCAAAATGATCTCGTTGAGATACCTTCAAAATCAATAAGGCATCTTCAGAAGTTGCGTCATCTCGATTTGGGAAACAACCACATCACCCATGTACAGCACGACTCCTTTCGTGGCCTTGAGGACTCACTGCAATGGTTGATTTTACGAGATAATTGTATATCCATGCTGATGGCACATAGCTTCTCGGGCTTACTCATATTGGAAACATTGGATTTGAGTGGCAACAATTTGTTTGAAATTGATCCTAATGTCTTTGTTGATGGAATGCCGCGGTTAACCAAGCTATTACTGACCGACAATATTCTTTCCGAGATACCATATGATGCGCTTGGTCCTTTGAAAAGTTTGCGTACTCTGGACATATCTCATAATGTGATATGGTCCTTGAGTGGCAACGATACATACGACATAAAATCCACCACAAAGCTTAATTTGGACAATTTGCATTTAGAATACAATAACATTGATATGTTGCCACCAAATTCTTTCAAGAACTTCGATATTGTGAACAGAACCTTTTTCGATGGTAATCCCATACACACTCTTAGGGTGAGTGATTAGCTGGAATGAATATAATATCTGCCATATTGATTCTACTTCTTTATATGATACGCCTAGGAGGACGCCTTCAAACCGGCCAAAATAAGAGAGATATATATGCGCTACTGCGGCCTGACTAACATATCGCCGCTGGCTTTCGACAGTTTAGTGAACAGCTTGCAGATCCTGGATCTGTCGGGCAACAATTTAACGCACTTACATCACAAATTATTTAACAATTTCGATGTGCTAAGGTGAGTACGAGGTAATGTCCGGTTCCCCATTAAGGGCGGGGGTAGCAATCTACTTATTTTTGAAAAAAAAGCTTAAAATACTTTCCTGAGGTTAATACGTCATACATCCACATATGTGCATATATAATTTACTTATTTACTACTACATACGCATATGAGTGAGCATATTAGTAGCATTGATGTGTTCCATGAGCTCTCGCGTCGGTATGTGGAGGCTAAAAGTGGTACAACAGCGCGTGTGTGCGCTCTAGTACTGTGAGCGTAGTCTACTAAGGCGAAACAGATGACGGCGCCGTGTTGCATTCACTGTCATTCTAATCCGATTGCCGCAATATGTTGACACAAACCAAAAAAAAAAAATGCTTCAACTTATAAATGGTTCACGAAACCAATGGAAAGTACCGATGAACATACCAAAGTGAAAAATAAAACTAAGCAAGAAACGTTTGCAGACGACCGAATTGGGGGAAATATTTGCACCTTGTTAAAAGTAAACAATATGGCTTCTGCTGACTGTTATGCAGGCCACTTAAACATATTGGCATGGTAATTATACCGTTAAGTACTCAGCCACAGGTATTGCCGATTACTAAGTGACCTTTTTGATCATTTTAAAAATAGTTACACACTAACTAACAAACGCGTGCAAACATTACGAGAGCTTAGTGAATTTCCCAATTTACAAATTAGTTTTATTTTCATTTATAAATAATATGATATAATGATAAATCTCTGGAGCTTTCAGAAATTCACTACAGCGATTTGCTGTAAATGATTAATGCCTCTTTCATATTTACATATATATAATACATTTATACCCCTATGCAGAGTTATTAGCTTGCGGGACAACAAGATCAAAATCGAGCAACCGCTGGAGACTTTCAACGCCATGCAGTACACCCTACTCAAATTGGATTTAAGCGGAGATAAGAACGACCCAACAAATCTTCAGACTCTACGCAAGTAAGTTTCGTATTTGACATTGCTTCGCAGCAAAAACATATGTATTTATTTGCAAAAAGTATGACCAGAATGCGGAATATGCGTTCGTTGTCAATGTCGCGTATGGGTAGTGCCACAACAATAGGTCCGGATGATTTCAAGGATTTCGGTGTAGAGCTGGAGGATTTACAAATCACTCGCGCCACACTCGCGACCATACAATCGCATGCCTTTAAACATGTACGCGGCCTTAAGCATTTGGATTTTAGCGAGAATGGTATACAAACAATTGAAAACGACGCATTTCACGAGGTGAGCCGTTGTTATTGTGCATTTCGGATAATTATCTTATGTTCTTCATTATGTTACCTGAACACATACTTACGTTTATTTTGATGCCTTAGATTGGTCACTCACTGATATCATTAAAAATCTCGCATGGTTTCACTGGCACGGCGCTGCCGGCCGATCCGTTGCGGCACTTGACGTCACTGCAAGAATTGGATTTTAGTAACAACAAAATCACCAGCATGAGCGATACCAGTTTCCACTTCTTGAAAAATCTACGGCTGCTGGAACTGCACGACAATCGAATCGAGCAAGTCATGAAGGGCACATTTCAAGTAAGCATTTGAAAATTGTTAATATAGATATCAAATGCATTGTGAAGATTTATGTTTTTCCATATTACAGGGTGACATCCATTCCAAATTGGAGGAGATATCGCTACGCTTCAATCATCTAACCCAAGTGTCGCAACATACTTTCTTTGACCTGGAGGTAAGTGCAACTTTTAATTGACAGCTTATTTGAATCTTATCGATTTAAATATGAGAATTCGCACAGGCTTTGAGGAAACTACATTTGGACGACAACAAGATTGAACGTGTCGAACGAAGAGCTTTTATGAATTTGGATGAGCTGGAACATCTTAGTTTGCGCGGCAATAAACTAAATAATTTAGCTGACGAATCGTTCCAGGTATAAAATATTAATAAAAACTTATCTATATATTTATAGCAGTACTATATTCGTACCAATATTATTGAAAATTAGCTAATTTAAATTTTAATAAAATAATCTCGGAGTGTATAATCCCTACAAGAACCCCTATGCAAAAAAGCAAAACAGTAAAGGTATTTCCACGAATACTAGAAAATTCGTCAAAATCGGTAAACCAGCCTTAAGTACAGATAGTTTTGTTGCATCCATTTTTTATTGTGTATAGAGATGCGAAAACCTGGTCCTAATGTTTATATACACATTCCACATATCTATATTGCAATGTGTTTCTTTATTGCTATAAAATATGTATGACAGTTTATTAATGGATAATATATTTAAATAACAGAATTTACCCAAATTGGAAATTCTCGATATGGCTTTCAATAATTTACCGAATTTCAACTTCGACTATTTTGACCAAGTAAGTGCCCTATATATTTGCATAAGTAAGATATATCCACATAAAAACTAATTGAATTAACTTCTAGGTGGGTACTTTATCCACTCTAAATGTAAATGTGAGCCATAACCAAATCAGAATGTTAATGTATAATAGTTCGTGGGCAGGGCGAACTGATCACGGTAAGCACCTGAGTTCGGGTCTTGAAACCACTTATTCTCCAGCTTTGTCTCCAGGTTCAATGCACCATTCAAATATAAAGTTATTGGATTTGTCACACAACAACATATCTCTAATACATCCAGGCTACTTCCGGCCGGCGGAGATTTCATTGACCCACCTATACATGGGCTATAATTCACTGATGGTAAGTTTTTAAAAAAATGTTAAATTCAGATTATAATGTGTTAAAAAAATAAATAGAATGCAACGCGTGATGTGTTCGGTAACATGCCGCATTTGCAATGGCTGGACCTGTCTTATAATCGTATACGCGAGCTGGATTTTGATGCGTTTAAGAATACCAAGCAGCTGCAGGTGCGTCGAAAGAGAAATTTATATTTTTGAAACTAAATAACTTTTCTGTTTTAATTAGTTAATTTATTTGGATCACAATTACTTAACGGACATACCCCAGGACATTTTCAAACCCATCTATGCTTTGCGCGTTATTGATCTGTCACATAACAATTTACGTGGTTTGCCCGACAATCTTTTCTATAACGGCGGCATGGAAAAGTAAAAATAGAAGCAATTGTATACAACATGTACAGGAGCTCTAACTGTATTTTCCATTTCTTAACAGGATGGACGTTTCGCACAATATGTTGCTCAAAATACCCTCATCATCCCTGTCCAGCTTGGCCGCTTTGACCCTTTGTGAACTGCACTTATCCAATAACTTCATTTCAACTATACACAGCATGGACTTATCCAATAAGTTTAGGGTTTGTATAACTTATGGGATATACTATATACTTAGTACCCGTGGTGATTTTGTTTAATGTATTATAATAATTTTATAGTCTTTGCGCTTTTTGGACATATCTTACAATTACTTGCTGCGGATAGACGACGCAGTTTTCGCCACAATGCCTCGACTCGCTTCGCTTGACCTCTCACACAATCGTGATCTCAAAGTGATGGACAAGTCGTTTATGGGCCTGGAGAATTCACTCATCAAATTAGGAATGGAGAATGTTTCTTTGAGCACTATTCCCGAGATACGCTTAAAGTACTTGCGTGAACTGCGCTTGGGTTATAACGAACTGCCATCGATACCGCAAGAATTGGCCTTCAACATGAGTAATTTACGTATGTTAGATTTGTCCAATAATGACTTGACTAATGTACCGCTAATGACACAATCACTGCCACATTTAAGGTTTGTCTTAGATGGCTTTTAGTCAGTTAAACTGTAAGTTTACTGTTTCGTTTTGAATGAACATTTACAGGAAATTGATGCTCTCGGGCAACCCAATCACCTCGCTTAATAACAATAGTTTCGACGGTGTCAACGAGGATTTGGAAATGTTGGACATCTCCAATTTTCGTTTGCATTACTTCGAATATGGTTGTTTAGATTCATTGCCACATCTGCGCTCGCTCAAACTTACCGCTTACTCGCATTTGGAACACTTCAATATACCTCATTTGTTGCGGCACCATCATAATATACGTGAACTTTGGATTGAAGCTCCGCAACCGTTCACTCGAATCATAAAGAAAGGCTCGGGCCCGAATCAGGACATTCAACAGGTGCAGATGGGTCAACCCACTGATTTGGCGCGTGAAATGGAAGGTCATTTACCAGCCAAATTGACGAATATAACTTTCAGTGGTCCGCAGTTTAGTAGTCTCAATGAACGTATTTTGAAGGTTAGTTGTGAGTATTCTTAAAGAGTAGTTTGATATAAAAACGACCCTTTATTTGCATAAACATATTTCTATACTGTAATAATGCTCATGTGTGTTTACAAGTACTTGTGTGACTTCATAATTCTTGTTATATCTACTAGATAAACGACAGAAACCTTTTTAATTCATAAGAAAGCCGAGGATAACTGAACCAGTCTAACTTCTTTACTATAATTTATCTGCAATGTACTTCATATTAAGATCCAATTTTCAAAATTAAAAAGCTCCTCAGACCTAAGCTACGCCCCTTTCAATGTACGTTCAGTATGTTCAGAATGGTTTATATTGAACAAGCCACCAACTCTTAATTTTATTAAGATAAACAACACTAATTAGGTTGACTACACAAAATTAAGAGCGCAAAGTTAGTTGTTTTAGTAAAATTGTTTGCCAATCGAACCTGCGATCCCCGTATAAAAGATCTCAATTTGAAAATTCAGGGGCGCCCAAACCTAATAAAAAGCTTAAAGCTAAAACTTAAATTGAGCTTTTTGTATTTTTGGAAGAAGAATATAATGTGAATATTGTAGTTTTTACGATGTAGAATGTTACCTTAATACCTTCTTGCTTCAGCTTGACTTCAATATACTTATGTACTCGTATGTCTTAATTATTGTTTTTTATAAATATACATTTTACCCTGAATGCATTTGAACCTTTGTCTCGGAGTGATATCGTGCCTTGAATGCATCCTCTTGCTGTGGCTGATAATCAACAGAAACAAAATTGTATTTTCAGGGAATGAGGTCGCCGTATATATATATGCAACTCTTTAATACTACACTGAAGGAGATACCGACCAATTTCTTCAAACATATGGGACGGGTCCGCAATATATCGCTGGATATACGCTACAACAATCGTATGTTGAAAAAGATACCAAATCCCAATACAGGGAATGTACCTTTTCTGCCGAACAGCGTTTTCCTCACCGAACTGAAAATGTCCGATTCCGATTTGAACTGCGATTGTGACTTGGGGTTAGTCTCTCTACAATCTGTTAATTCAACTTCAAATTTTATAGCTTCCAATAATTTTTTCGTTTATACTTTGCCTTACAGATGGGTAGAGTTTTGGCAGCGCAAACGAAGACAGTACATTTGCTCATCACAAACGTGGACCGATGCTGTATTCAGAACTTTCATGAATTCACCTTGCCAAGTGTATGGACGGCACAATTGCGATGATCACGATGATGATCTGCGTGAGACCCGATGTGATAATAAAGGCGGACAGCAGTTAATGGAAGTAAGAATTTAATAACTTAATGTCATTAAAAAGTCAATGACTGAAAGTAGTTCGCGTGGAGGTGGATGCTCAGGTTTATTAGCAGGGAGCCCAAACAGTAAGAAGGTTCATTGAAATGTGTTATCCGAGATTTTCAGATTCGATATAGGGACCGTAGCAAGTATGTTGTTGACTGTCTTATCTTATCTTAAATAAGTGTATCTACAAATATTTTTGGCGATCGAAGAATATCTGTTACAATGGTACTCCTATAATCCGATTTTATAAATATTGTTTTAATAATCTTTGGCCCCAATGTATTTTTTGTAGCGTTTATAGTTAGAATTTGATTAAGTCGTGCTACTTTTGAATCTGCATATTGAAAAATACTGTTGAGATAACTCTTGTGCTCATTTTAGAAGCATTGTATTTCATTTTTGGTCACCTACTAACACAAATAATACTGTACTTTTTTCTAGAAACAGCTAAACTATTGTAGTTTCACTAACATATTTCTGGGGCGGATAGATATGACCCTAGGAAGAACCGTTAGGAGAGTAAAACTACTATGGTATAAATATTGCGCTCGTCGGAACGTGTATTATTTGACAACAAAACTTGTATTAAAAAGCTTTGGTTAATATAATATTAACATACGGTTCAAAGACAGCACGATAGTGTAATCTTGCTCCAGTAGAATCGAGATAACTCTAAAATATAACAGCGTGTAGATTTTATTTGTATTTAAAATTTATAATTGACTCTTTTCAGGCGCTGAAATTCGATTTGGAATGTGGATGGGATAATGCAGGTTGTCGCGAAACGTTCATTCTGCTAATCACAGCCTTACTAATGATCGTTTTCTGGATGTGACTGTTGAGATGCGCATTCAAAGTGTCGGCAGATTTTTACAAAACCTTAGAGAAGGTATACGGAGACAGTCCGCTATAAAGAGCAATTTTGCAAATGTTGTTAAGTAAAGAGATATCAAAGTAGAAAGAGTTAAAGCGAAAAGAGGATGGAAAGAATAGAGAACAAGTGTGCTACCCGAAGAAACCCAAAATAAAGTACAATTCCCAGACCTCAGCTGAAATTGGATTCGTAGATTTTTAGAAATATTGCATTTGTATGTTTGTTTTGTAGTTCAACCGATAATTGAATGTGCTGGATTAACTTATACAATTTGGAATTATTTTGAACATATTTTAGTTTCATCATTTTTTAATAATTTTTTGTATATTATATTGGTAAGGAAAAAATTGCGGTAATGAAAATTTAAGGCACTTAAACATAAGTATATAATACTTAAATATAGTATAATAGAATTGAAATTTACTTTTAGCACTAATGGATATAAGTTTTCTATTTTGTTTTTAACCTTCCTAAGCTTCCCTGTTTTTATCACTTCAGTTCACGCTTTGCTTGAATAATTTTAAAATCATTATTTATAAATGTTTTCGTATTTAAAATAAATATTTAAACAAAACTATTTTGGTTTTTTCTTTGTTCGTGCCAAATTTCGTGAACGTATCTTACAAAAAAAAAAAAAATAAACAAGTTGAGAAGAGCTGAGCTCTTGTCCAGCTACTTAACTAAAGTATGCTTAAGAAAACATGCTCACTCAATTGCATTCACCTATATTTACGTAAAAATGTGAGTTATATCCAAAGAGTGCCAAGGAGCATATGTACCAAGGTAATTCGTCTCATCATCCTGAAAGAATTAATTATCTTTTGTTTGATTTTAGGTTTTACCAACCACTGTTAGTTGAGAAAAAAGTTATGAGAGTATAAAAATAAATGAGATAAAAAAGTAGTTTTAAAGTAAAAGAAATCTATATTAAACGATAAGTATCGAGTGTCTTTAAATGCAATAATCGATTTCAGTCATCAGACATTGGCATCTGCATTGGCAGTGTGCTACATATAGGCTAGTTAAAGGAGTGCGCAATGATTTCTTCCACCTCTCGCTTATGCACTTTGCCAATGCCAGTTGCGGTGGTAGCTGCTTCAGACCGGCCAACGTATTTTAGCTGGAAAAAAGTTAACCAGTAATTGCAGTTGGAAATTCGTTATGTTGAATATATATCGTGAATGTAGGCATGTACCTGTTTGCCGATCAAATACTCAAAACGTGGGCGTACAAAACTCCAAGCGCCCATATTGCGGTGCTCTTCCTGACTCCAAATAAAGGCTGTACACATGAAAATAGAGCATAGTAAGTAGTTGAGTGAAACTACCAGTAGTATTAGTATGTCAGTGTTTGGATTGAAGTTTACGTACTCTTTGCCTGTGCGTATTTAGCCATCTCTTGTTGTAGTTCATAGGCTGGAAAGGGGCATAATGACTCGAGCCGTATTAGGGCCGTATCGGTGATGCCTCTTGTTCGGCGCTCCTCATCTAGTACAAAGAAATGCTTGCCCGAACAGACAATGACTTTACGAACTTGGTCAGCAACAACACTTGGGTCACCTGAGGAATACAATTCATTGTTGGCTTCATTGTTGGGCCATATATATATACAATGTACTACATTGAGCACCACTACACTTACTTATTGTGACTTAGTATATTGTTAATAACGCTTTTTAATAAATTTTAAAATCCCACAAACAAAATTAACTCACCCAGCACATTGTGGAAGTGTGTGCCCGGCTGGAAGTCAACATATGTTGATGTGGCAGCCGGATGACGTAACATTATTTTCGGGGCGACCACAACGAGGGGTTTGCGGAAATTGCGCAGCAATTGGCGGCGTAACAGATGAAAATACTGAGCCGAAGTAGTGGGATTAATAACGTTCACATTTACATTGTCACCATCGGGTGCGGTTTCTTTGGAGTCACACAACTGCAGAAAGCGCTCAATGCGACAGGAACTATGCTCGGATGCGGCTCCATCGTAGCCATGTGGTAGCAACAACACCAAGCCATTTGAATCCATCCATTTGGCTGTAAAGTTATAACGTGCATAACAAGAACCGTTAGTGAGCCTCCGCAGTGTTAGACATTCATTTATTATACAGTCAATGTAAACTTACTCTCCCCTGTTATTATATAATTGTCGATCATTATTTGTGCACCGTTCGCGAAATCACCAAATTGTGCTTCCCAAATAATCAACTTTTGCGGATCGTCTATGGCCATTCCGTACTCATATCCCAACACTGCCTCTTCAGAAAGTATGCTGTGGGCAATTTCAAGTTTGCCGCCGTTACCGCCTTGCAGGCTATTCAATGGTATGAACATTTCATTGGTCTTCTGATCGACCAGCATTACATGGCGATGGGAAAAGGTGCCGCGTCCCACATCCTCCCCGCTAATGCGCACATGATGGCCTTGATACATAAGACTGCCGATCGCCAAGGCTTCCGCTGTGGACCAATCGATCTTTTCACCGCTATCTAATTTCTTTCGTCGGCCTTCAATATGGGTTTTCAACAGATGTGGATGAACGTTCTGGAACCCGATGTTGTAGTACTTATAGTTCAGTAAACTTTTATTATTTGAAAAAAAAACTTACGAAATCTTTCGGGTGATAAACACTCTGATGGCCAATATAGTTAAGTAGTTGATAGTCAAGACCGGTATCCCAGATGGTAAGTTTCTCTGTTGCACTTGTTAAACCAGTCCATTGTTTTTTAAAGTAATTTGCCTCGGGCTTATAACTTTCTGATATAGCCAATTCGGAATCTAAATGATTCCAGTAATCAGAACGCATCGATTTTGCCTGTTCGGAGCTGAGCACTCCATCCTCTATTAAATTTTCCATATACAAATCAGGCACAGATCTATTATATAAAATGGAATAATGCTTAGTAGAATTATTGTGTTGAACATTTTAATACACTTTTAATAAACCGACTTGCGATTGTGTATGATCTGGTAAACTTGCGGATTCGTAAAGGTTGGATCGTCCATTTCATTATGTCCCCAACGACGAAAGCAATTCATATCAATGAATATATCTCTGCGGAATTCTCTTTGATATTGCATTGCCAATTGTGTTACTAAAGCGACCATTTCGGGATTGTCACCATTCACATGTAAAACCGGTGCTTGAATGGTTTTGGCCAAATCTGAAGCGTAGTCTGTGGATCGACCTCGTTCGCCGGGTGTTGTAAAGCCAATCTGATTGTTCACAATCAAATGTATACTGCCACCCACCTCAAAGTGTGGCACATAGGCCATATTCAGACACTCCTGATTAACACCTTGACCAGCAAAGGCGGCGTCACCATGAATGAGGACATTGAGTACTGTAGTACCAAAGGGTTTTGTATGATCTTCACTGAATGCACCATCACGAACGTTTTGTTGTTTTGAGCGAGTTTTGCCCATAGCCACAGGATTTGCTGCCTGATGGGCGAGGTGAAAGAGAAAAATTGAAAACTTTTCGAGCATAAAATTAGGCGATATCCACTCACTTCCAAATGCGATGGGTTTCTTATTATACTTATATGTATCTTCTTGCCTTCCACCTCCAGGTCCTCGGAAGTATCTAGGTATGCAAAGAGTATAACAATATATTTAGTGTTGAAATAAGTTTTGAATTTGATTTATTTGAAACGGTATCTCAAAAGACGACGTACTGAAGTGACTTAAAGTATCAGACATAGCCGGTGCATCATCCGGAAACTCCGACTCGCCGCTGAGCTTATGGAAAATTTTTGCTGGTCGCATATTCAACATCGTCGTTTGGAGAGGCATACGTCCACGATGCGGCATTGCCACAACAATATCCCCAATGCTAGCTAATAGTAAAAAGAGAGGTGAGTAAAGTGTAGACAGAAAGGTTAAAAAATATCTGAGCCAGTCGAAACACACTTGCTCTGAAAAAATTTGTAATTTTAACTGCACACATACCTTGTGCAGCGCTACGCAACAGTTGCCAATAGAAGGCCAGTAGACTTTCGGCACCTTCTCCACCATAGCGTTTAACACTTGCAAATCGAATTGCCATAAAATTATCCCACGTTTGCGATTTAATCAGCAGTTCGGCAATCTGACGGCGTGCATCCTCTGAGAAGCTGAAGCCTGGCTGCTGTTGCTGATATCCAAAAGCGAGTTGTTCAAAATGCCGCGATAGCCATTCGCGCTCCTCCAGGTTCTGTTGCAATTACCACAAACGAGCAAAGGTTGTCAAAATATGCGTAAATGGCCGAGGAGAGTTTGGAATATGCAACTAGTAGATACGTTTGTATGCGAGTATCAGCCGCAAAAAATTACCTCAATATAGTTGAATTCTACACTGACCGATGTGCCACAGTAAATGTCTTTCAACAACGATGCTAATTCTATTACGGTTGCAGCGTTTCCTGCGCCCAATTGCGGCACATTTATTAAACCTTGGGGTTGTACGGAATTATTTAGAGCAAGCCCATAGAACTGAGGATTCAGCTCATCGATGGTGGTGCTGTGGATGTGATGCGATATTTATGTAAATATTTATGTTGCAAGTTAATGAAGAATTTTATCTCAAATGGGGATTATCTGGATGTATATGTTTTTGTGCGATATGTACCAATATAATATATATGAGAGAGTGTGTATGTTCGGGTACATATAATAACAACCTCTGCTGGTCTCTGGTGCTGATTGGGTTGATAACTGCCAGTTTGTGGCCATGCTTGCGATAGGCCTCGATCCAACGATAAACATTGCCTTGGACATTCCTCGACTGTAGCACTTCGTCAGGCACTATGGATGAAAAGATTGGTCCAACTATTATTTTGTTATCAAGTTGTTAAGCAAGTATTAGGTTATATATAAATTTTTGTTAATAATGCTCACAATTCAGCTGACGCTTTCTCGGAACATCTTACTGCTTCTACTTATGACTACGTTCATGTCTATCAGAAGTCCAAGTTAAAAGAAAGTATCTCTTTATTAGCTAGCAACTTAAGGCTACAACATTCAACAAAAGTCTCTCTATGATGATCTAAATCCATGTTTTAGATTAGAAGTACGAACTGAGTTACGTTACTTTTTTCTAATAGTTTTCTATAGACAAAGCTGCCTTGAATGGATCCAAAGGAGCGTAAAATCTAATTGTCTTACCCAAATAAATTATTTTGCTTGACGTTTAAATGAAAAATTTCTTATAGGGCGCAAGTAAGTCGAATATTTCACGGCTAACCAACTGTATGGTCCTTCTTAAATTTCCTCGATGCCACTGAGAAATTTTAAATATGTTGAGTTTAGTTTTGGGAGTACATGCCGCAAAAAACTGAATTCAGTTCTTAATTTAAGAGAAGAGTAAATGGAGTGCTGGCTAATCTTATCAAAACTAAAAAGAATATAAAAGAGAACTCACAAATAACACTCGTGTTTGATAAGCAAATAAATATAAAACAACAAAAATGCGTGGGGTCTTGATACCATAACAAAAAATATACTGACTTAAACAGATTTCGCGAATGAGCTAAAAAGAAACCTCAACTGTTTGAGCACAAAACATATACTTATATCTGCTGAACCACATCTATTAATACACGGTGAGATTAGCAACTAGAGGCTTATCAAGCATGTAGAGATTTTATCTCTGAAAA